CATCAATCCTGCACGCCAATGCAAGATTCGTCAATGGTCCAATAGCTATCAAAGTGATTTGTTTTTCGTATTTTTTACTTAAATTAATCATAGCTATTGCACCATGCTCTGATTGCAACAAACTATCTATCCATTCCTTGTCATCACAACGATGCTCAATATCGCCAAGACCATCTTGGCCATGAAAAACTAAATTTTCATATGTTCGCATTAGGGATGTTTGTGCTCCTTTATAAACCGGAATCTTTTTATCATACTGCTGTAAAATATAGCTAACATTTTTAACAACTTGATCGACTAAACAATTACCGTAAGTACATGTAACGCCAACAACCTCACGGCAATTATCATGAGTTAATGCAACCATTAAAGCATGAGCATCATCAATACCGGCATCGGTATCCAAAAGCAAAGTTTTTCCAGTCGTCAATGATTCAATTTCTGACATCTTTAATTGCCAAACTAATCCTTCAAGCAGTGTACAGGAAGAGGTTTTCTTATTATGCTGTATCTCTATGCTGTACGCTGTACTGCGCACAATCACTCACTCACGTCGCACAGTGCAATTGTACGCTTTACAGTACAGTACAGTACAGTACTATGCGCTACTGTACAATGTACAGTACTGTACTGGACACTGTACTGTACATCACTGCCACACCCAGCACCCACCCAACCTATTAAAACAGAAGCAGGGACATTTAGACGTTCTGCAGAATTACTCCAATTATATTCAATACTAATTTAATACCCAATCGATGAACGGAAATATATTCTACGTAAGGCATTACATCGACAGAAAATTCATAATTAGGTTATCATACTATATAGAAATCTCTTCCTAGTGCGAGATAGGCACAATGATGCATCAAGCCCATAGAATAAATATATTGTATTATTTGTTTATTTTGTATTTAGGAATGATCATCAAACATAGGTATTGCACATACGAGTATGCGTTGTGTTCGCGTGATATATTATCTTTTGACTTAAAATGAAATGTTTTCCTTTGAGTCCGTTGTTAAGTAAGTCATTCGTATAATTACAATTTTTAACCGGTTTTATTCTTATAAAAAGCGATACTATTTATATCAATACATAAGATTGCGTTCTTGCGGCATTTGAAAATATTAGAATCAGAAAACGCTTATAAATCATCGTTGTAGCAATCTCGAACGATAAATGGATTGAGAAGGTATTAGGTGAATAGCTAATGTTATGCCCAGAAAACTGTACACTATATGAAAAAAGCGACTAATAACTGCTTGTTCTCGCGATTTGAACTTACAGATTTGCTTAAACATGAGTTTGAAAATGTATTAATGGTATTATAAGAATAACGACTTCAATAAACTATTTTTTTGCCTAACTATAAATTATTTCTTAATAATACGAGTATATCTTATAGTCACGTAGATTTACAAAAAATGTTTTTTAAATTATCTCTCGACCTGAAGATATATCTTAGATTGGACATGTCTTTTTATCAGATGCGGTTCATGATATTCTCATAATACACTTTATGAACTAATATAACAGTTTGAAGAATACAGTAAGACCGTAATTTTTAGAAATTTTGCAGTTGTAAATTTACAACATCAAAGAAATTTTACCATTGTATCCAAAATAGACTTGCCTTTTAATTCTATAAACTTGTTTAAACAGTTAATTTTTAAGTAACAGCCTTTTTCCTGGAAGCGCTCTTTAAATTGTTGAATTCATGAATTCCAAATTAATAAATTAAGGACGTTATGTTTTTTCTCAAATGCATGGCATAGCTTGTTAATAATTAATATAAGTACTATAGCTACAATAGAAATAAAACTATTTGCGATCTTTACGCTATTTATTCATCATTATCATTTGTGGCATAAAAAGGGGAGTTAAGGGCTATTGTAAGTGTTGGTTCTTATGTGTACATTGATCAAGCATCATGTAAGTTTATGATTATGATGACAATAAATTCAATTCAAATTGGTTGCAATTAAATTTTAATATGTAAACAATTTAGGTTACTATAGACTACATATTTTATGATCTATGATATGTATTAGGTATGGTCAAAAAGATTTATCAAAACTGTTATAATTACATAATTTTAATATGAAGCCAATTTAATAATACGTATAATATACACTTTCTAAACGTGATGATACTACATTTCCATTACTAATCAAAGGCCTTAAGAAAGTTCTTTAATGTTTTCATAGTCTCCATTATAATTTAGCAACCTCGTAGAGCATGTTTAGCTCGTTATTGAGAAAAATCTTTTAGGTATCATTAATTTGTCATTCTATAGCACTGATATTCCCATACCAAAGAAATGATATTCAACTATTCTTGATAGCAGTATGTTTTCATAGATGATTTGGTATTCCATACCATTCAGTAGAAGCAAAAATAAACTAATTTTTCTCGTATAATAGGTCTAAACAATTATGTAATATGATTGCAATGAAAATAATATGACATGTCACCATACAGAGTTATAACACATAAATTATTAATCTAGGAATTTTATGGCCTGATGATTACTTTTATAGCATTCAAAAATGTATGTTTCATGCCTTAAATTAAAATACCAAAAGAATTAATACTACACACCAGAGATTCAGTTATAATATAACTATATTAGTATGACATAGTTTGAGCGATTCGCTTAAAAACAATTAGCGTATGTACGCATCCTGAGCCTTTTCATCCTTCTTTTATGTAACTTGAATCCCTTAGATAAACAACTGTGCTCATAAATATTTGCATAAAATTAATCGAAATGGCATGCTATATTATATCGATCAACTTTTAGATTTAGCAAAGCATTAGTGGTATATGGCTTCCTTTATGCATATCCTGACCGTATATAGTATATGTGTATACCCAGAAGAATATGGGAATGCAATTTTTGGTTGTGTAATTTCAATATTAGGAATAATACTATCATTATGGTGAGTCATTAGAATATTATGAAAAATACCATCATACCATCAATACGGTAAACCATTACAATATTACGATAATGACCTGGGTATGCTAAATAAAATCAGATGACTGTGCGTTCTCGTGATGAGATTGCTCCTCCTCCTAGTTTTAGAATGATATACCCAATTTTCTAAATTTTATAAACATAAATATACCCTACTGTTTTATCATAACAAAGTGGCATAAAGTTGAAGTTTTTTTACATTTATGAATTGTAAAGTCCGAAATCAGTAGCTGGATATTATTAGCATGTAAAAATATCACATCATAAGTGGCACAGGCCAGTTAGCCTACGTTAACATCAACAAGTTGAATCTTATTAAAATTTTTTTAAGATTCATAATGAGAATTCAGATATTCTAATTGGCTTAAAAAATATACCCATGCTGCAATGGTGGAGTTGCTACAAATTCATGATAGGGTGCACACGATATGCTGTACATGACATACTTAAGACTATAGCTTAATATACTAAACAGTAACAATAGTTCAAATCTTCGCCATTAATTGTTCATAAGGCATTACTTGTTATAGCATTGATATAGAATAAATCAGTTATTATTTGCATTATTAAAGAACTTAAACGATTCATCATTTTTCGTCGATATCATGGATAATAACAAGTCTCTGGATGACGTTGATATGGTATATAAATTTATTTTTAATAACGTGAAAGATGACTTGATCAAATTATCTCTAGACCGACCTATGCGCAATGATACATCAGTGACTCAATGTTACAGGATATACTAAAGGAATATTCTGTAAAATTGCAGTAATAGTTAACTCTTTCAGTTGAATTAAACTCGTCTATCCATCAGGATTAATGCTTACAATTCGAATAGATAGATAAAAATAAGAGAAATCGATAGTTTCTATTCCATTATATAATTTTCACATTAGTTTTAGCAGTGTTTCGTCTTTGAAGTCCTAAGAATATTGTAATTTGGTGTTTGAAAGTCTTTCCACCGTACGTTAGCAAAATGAGTTGCATTAGTGCTGAAATACTTCATAAGATCATATTAACTCAATTATAATATTAGAGTAGCATCTAATCGACAAATTAAATAATTTTCATGTATTAATTTTCTTCCCGGTCTCTATTTTAATGTATTGGATTACATCACGATATCTGGGAATTGTTTCCTCTTCGTATGACTCATATTCATTATGGTCATTTTTTTAACATGCCTTTAGGCGAATAATCAAGGTTAGAAATAATCGATCGTAGATTTATATTGGATAATTAGAAGGAATTATATTCTTTATTCTATTTTATTTATCTATCTCATTAACATTTTACAGCCATAATCGTTCATACTCGTGATTTCTGTATATTTACTTTCGACAATTAGGCTTCGTTATGCTAGAGGAAATCCCTCATAGTTCAAAATTATCGATTCATTTTTTACCTGCTAGTTTCTGTATTATACTAAAGATAGTCCCAAAGATAGATTTTCAATTTGATTTCTTGCTATAAAAGTTCAGCTAATAGAAGCCTAGATCCCTCCATGTTTTATTCAGTAATAACTATGACCGAATAAGTTGTTGCCTTCTGTGTAACCTTCATCAAGTATCATACTTCAATTCATATTTTTTCCTATGTTAATTTCTATTAGAAATTGATATGGAAGAAGATAACACCCATTGGATGTCTTACCGTAAGTCTTTAATTCGATTTTAAGAATAAAACTGACAGACGCATCACTATTTATTACTAGAACGATAGGATCTGTATAGAAAAATTAAGCCTTGATATTAATTGATTAATTAATTAATTCTCTGGCACCTTAAATGTTTTCAATATTGCAAAGTCTGCCAGTTGCAAATGGAGGCTCCAAAGCCACACCCAGTAGCTTGTTTAAGACAGGTTTCTGATTTAAACGATTACATTTAATTAACTATCAATTATATTTATCTTTGATAGCTAGACTGCCTAACTATATATATATATATATATATATACTTCTATTAACTATCTGATTTACTTTCATATTCGACAATCGATTTATTAGCAAGAAATGCCTCTTCACTACGGAAATGAGTAAGTTCAAATGCGTTACAGTATAGACTTTGGTATCAACGATACAGAACGCCTTAATAATACTAATTTTAGTTAACATTTATCATTGTCTTTAAGATATCACTGTTGAATTCGTAGCTGAGGCTTAAGTTAAATTGCTACACTAACTATCATATACTATAGCTAATGATATTTAGTACCTAAAGATCAAGTGGAATAAAATATCTCCTGGCAACGTAAATTTTTGAATTTACCACATCGAACTCTTAATCTCTAAAATAATCTTACTTAGTGATTCATCGCGTTACTTTGTTCTAAGCTAAAGCTATTCGTCATGTTTCTTGAGAGCTTTTCAATTCGTTAACTTCAAATGCTAGACCTAAGAAATTTTGATGAAATAACTGAAATTATATAAAGTTTATTGTGGTAAGACACAGGCTAACTTTAAAATTGATTATTAGATATCATGGTGCCATTGCTAGAGAAGATACGAATAAACTACTGCTTCGAGATGGATTTTACTTAGTAAGAGAAAGCCTTAAAAGTTTAGGAAACTATTCTCTTTCATTCAAGTAAGATAGCTGTTGTCATCGTTCTCGTTTTCAGTATTGTTTACTTAATTTATATGGTAGCACAAGGTTATTGCAGCTGTTCAAAATTTATATCATGGTACAATCTTGGCATTTATAGATATTACCCTTTTATTAATTCATTTTACTGTATTACAAGGTATTTACTGCTATTCTTGATTAAAACTAGGTTGTTTAAAGAAGTGAAACATTATCGACTATATTTCGATGGCTCACACCATTTCATAGGTAAAGAACTTCTCAATCTTATTTATGTTTTTATCACACACTATTTTGGTGATTTAAAGCGATGGATATTGTATTAATATTGAATTTGTCAGTACTGAATTATTTAAAAGCATAGTTTACGAGTAAAATGATCACCCGAAATAGGATATTTGTAATAGCATTATCTCATAAATAACGGCTTAGTTAATGAGTTTCATGAAGGTCTATAACTATTAAATTATTTCGTAATATAGATGAGAAGAAATATGACACTGTTTATGACCTGGTTGAAGATGGCTTAATATCGCTCTATGTTACAACGAAAGGTAGAAATTATATTGATAGGCTGTTTGGTTGGACAGATTTTAAAGGCTCTGAAGCAGGTACAGAAATCATAAATTTTATAAGTTATTGATTCCACAATCATACTATGATATTATAACACTAGTTGGTCAAATCTAGCTTTATTAATGAAATCTTATGTATTATTTTCTACGATATGAGTCTTAACATCCATTAAATTTCTGCGTTTCAAAATTCTTTAATAAATATACATATGAAATTCGGATATAGAATGGCTACCGCAGTTATATGTAGTATTAACAGTAATACCTGAGAGGAGGGCTATGTTATACCTACAACTTCTCAAGCATCTAAAGCTCTAGTGCTATCTATTCTATCAAAGCGATTTCTGTTACTATGGGAGTATTATCTATGGCTTGTCAACTGTTAAAGACAAGGATGAAATTTATCACTAAATTTTCTTTCAAGTAGATAACGTCGATGGCAAATCAACGATGGACAAGAAAAGAAATACAAGTACTGCCAGTAATGCCAGTATTGAAGGAATGACTGAAAAGGTCCATGATAACCAAGCTAATTTATTTTACTTCCACCATAATTGTGGTCTCGAGCGATTTAAATCAAAAATTATAATCATAATATTGCGAATAATCGTTATTTTAATAGAAAACTGTTCTTCTATCAAGCGAGAGCCACAAATTTAAGGTCTATATTGCACTAGATATATATCAATAGTTGCATCATTACAGGCAATCTTAACTGCTTGATATGAATTTTTACATCATATATATACGTAGATGATGAGCTTTGTTGGCTTTCATTGGTGTGATTATTGTCGAAATTTCATGTGGGGGCTAAAGCAACAAGGAGCAAGATGCAAAAGTAATAGAATCTAGAATACTGTTTTCTATCATTAAACTTTCACAGTGTGTACTGATTCTACTATCACTATCAGCTGCATATATTACTGTATATTAGGCATCTTCAACGTTCATAACATGACATTACCATAAAGTATTATGACCTGTATCTGTATAATCATCTAGATACTAGTTCGATTTTGGTTTCTATTCCTAATATTATTTTAAAATCGGACTCAATTTTTTATAATGAATCCAGAATGTGGATACTGCGTTCATAAGCAATGTATTAACAGAGTGATTACCGGCTGCACACCTAAAAAGACTTCAAATCGAGGTACAGATCGAGCGTTCGACAGGAATCCAGTTATTTAATGAACATAGAACGACGCTGACTGGCCAATGCATATTTTTATTATTTACTACTGATTTTACTTATTAAATAGTATTTGGAATTGATTTAACTGCCTTACTAAGCTTGACCAATACTCCTCGCCCGCTAGTTTTTGATAAATGTGTGGAAGCTGTTGAAAGCTGGGGTAAAATGAGTTAAAATACGTAGAATTTTATTCTTTTGCAACCAGAAAATTTGTTTGAGAATAGAATGCGATATAAAATTTCGTCTCTTTTACTATCCTAAGTGTTTGTAGTAGAAAACTTTTTTCTTATACAAGTATATACACAAGCATAATTGAAAATGCTGTAAACTTTTTCGCCATTATTTTACATTCCTCATTTATAATTTTAAAAACAAGGGATCGATACTGAAGGGTTGTACAGAGAGCCTGGCTCTGCAACGGATGTAAAGATACTTAAGAGCAAATTTGATGAAGGTAATGAAATTTGAATAATATTCCACAAAGGATATTTAGCTCAGATTTAAATATCCGATTGCCATAGATAGTGTTGATTTTATGTATGCGTAAGTGAGATTGTAGCAAGATCCATACTGTCACGACGTGAAGGGAAATATAACATAAATCAGAGTAGTTCTATGATCTTGGTATATCACCTTTAAGTGCATATAGACTTTGATTGTATTATAAATTATCTTTCGAGCATAATGTTAATTTTTGATATCAGACAGGATTGGTTAAGTAATGATTGACTTTATGCATTATGATATTGATCACTGCTTAATAATTAATTTCTCCTGATCTTGCAAACTGAAGACGATACCAAGGTCGAATTGACACCGCAGTTATATCCTCATATTCAGGTTATAACTAGTCTTCTAAAATTATACCTTCGAGAATTGCCTGTACCTTTGATTCCTTACCATCAGTACAATGCCTTTATCGAAATAGTGGGTATGTAAAAATTTATCATTACATCATGTGGCAACTCATTGTAGATAAGAAAATTCTGGCAGGTCTTTTTTCAAGTGATATTTTAATGCGATATTTTGAAGTTAAGAATTTCTTATCAATGAGTCGTTAATATAATTATGATAACGCTCATTATGGAAATTTTGCGATAGATATGAAACATGAAATAGATAAAGTCAATACATTGAAACAGTTATTGTCGGCTCTTCCGCCTGCCCATTACGATATGTTAAAGCACTTAGTTCAACACTTAAATAGGTAAGCTATAACAAGCTGGTAAAATACACTCGCAATGAAAACTTAACGTTATATATATACAGAAAGATATTTTAGTATCCATATGCTGGAACTATAAATAATAGATCGTATTATATACGGTAATAAAGATAAACGTATGACATCTTAGTTACTATTTAAAGCAATAAAGATAATCAGTGCTGCAATATCACAAATGTATTACAGAGTTATCAAACACGAAGATAAAAATTTGATGAGTGCAAGTAACCTTGGCGTAGTATTTGGTCCTTCGATTATGAAAACACCAATCAGCGAGGAAGGGTGGCGAAATTTAACCGACATGAGAAGCCAACGCCTTGTTGTTGAGAATCTGATTTTGCTGAATGATAAATTATTCTGATTTAATGTCATACATACATTACACAACAAAGTGCGATAGAGGTTGATATAAACTTGTCAACAAACTATTTTCACGTGAAAAATTAAAGTAGATTGAGCTAGATATAAAAATTGATAATATGCAACCATAATACCGTAGTTAAAATTCATTTTGAAGTAAAGGGTAAGAGTTTACGGTAACATTAAGGTTATGTCAATTTATCTTATTAGAGTATTATAATATATAAGTGTATTAATGTGATACAGCTTTAGCAATGTTACTGGTAATAGAGTAAATAATCGATGGAGCTAGGTTATTTAACGAAACTGTTGCGAGATTAATAGAATATAAACATATTTACGTAAATATTTCGTTTGGTAGCTACAAATTACAATAGCTAACTTTTAAAAATTATATTCGAAAGATATTTAAAAAGTTAGCAGGGAAATCTTTTGAATATTTTGTTGGCAATTGAACCATCAAATGTAACAATTAAAGTAGACTAATAGTTCAATTGTCAATAAAACCAGATGGCTACGTCATCTTTAAGGGTGTATCGAATCATGAAAATAGAATGCGCTCCTTCTCGTACGTCACTTAAACATGCTAAGTAACTTTTGTTCTTCTTCTGATTCATCGCTACAAGTATACGCAAGAATAGGATATACACGTAGCGTTATTAGTGACGTGCAAAATGTCATCAATTATTAATTTATAGTTAAAAGTTTCGTATAAAAATCGTTGGTGATGCCCTCTTTATGTTATTTAGACATTTATCGCAATCGAATTTCATACAGGTGTCATGATGGTCGATTGGTTTTGAAATGGTCTGGTTCATTCATTGCTCGTAGAGAGTTAGCCAACGCGTTCTGCATCATCTATAATTGTAGAATTTTTATATAGCATAGGATACAATTTTTTAGTCCAAAGAAAATGCAAAGCCAATAATTCATTATACATATTAAAATTACGAAACCTACTTCAGGTTTCCAACTTGATTCCAACCAATTAATTATGCTACCAGATAAAGCTTCGAAATTACTTAAATTGACCGAACTATCGAAACTTTGAAACTGTGTATCCATAATACTCTTGAACTGTGCAGGTTTGGTGCATCACGATGACAAGAATCAAAAAGAATTAAAATATTAGTTTATTAGACAAGAAAGGATAGTGTATTGTATACATCATCATATCTGTAAATGGTGCTTGAAATTCTACAATATCATCCTAAGCCAAGCTTTACCGCATCAAATTGCTCTTCATCAGTGATACCACTCTCTTGTTGTGGCTGAAAGAAGTAAAATATGAATGATTAATCAGTTAGAATATATGTGAATGTTTCGAGTATACAAAAGATTGCATAGTAGGTTTAAATTAAATAGTTAACCCGTGTATATACGTACACTACTACTAGGATATTCATGAATATATAGCAAGTAAGCATAAAATTTTACCTGATTATGTACTCGAGCAATTTGTTCGTAGTTTCTAATCAACAGAGGAATTATTATTAACAGTTAATTGATCAATATTTTAGCTCTGTCAATTCCATCAACATAGTGAATTTATAATTATCACAGTTTTATCACAGCATTACGTTTTCATAATTTCCAAGGCCATAACTTCTTTTCGAAATTGATCTAATTGTTCGTGTAATTTTCTTCTATCTTCAGTTAAATACTGTAGATACTCTACGGCTAATTATTTCGTTTGTTAAACAGAATGATATGATAAGCAATGTGAAGATTTACTTTTATATCTTAATTATCGATGATGTTTATCGGGTAATAATTTTTCTAATTTACCCCGTTGTAATATGATTGCTTTGCTATGTTTTTGTCCGGCGTTGCTGCTATTTCGAAGCGTTGGTAAAAGCGTTTGTAAATCTTCAAACCCTTTCTATTTTGTTTAATATATTAAATTTTAGATTTTTCAAAGAGTAAAGGAATAACAGTTGCATGCTTTTATATAGAAGAAGATTGTAAGTGATTATGTTTATATCAGGGGACGAAAATTTTTGAATTTAACCAACCTTAATCGCATCCCGTCGCTTCTGTTCAGCAATTGAGTGTGCCGTCCGTTTCCTTTCTAAAGGGTCTTGAACATCTTGCTCGTCATCATCATTCAGATCATCTCCATGTTGATCAGTAAAATAAGGATCCACTACATACGTCAGATTTTGTATAAAAAAGGAGTAGTTACTTTGGAATCGATTTATAGCAACGATTACAACGTGATTTGATATTATTTCACGTTTCATATTAAATGGTATCAATTAACTATTATTTCTTATACATTTAGTTAGCAATGCTAGTACAATAACAAATTAAATGTTATTACTGTGTGCAATATCTATAAGTTTGTAACATTATGGTAAAAACTGTAGGATATTTTACATATTTATTACACAGGCATTTAGCAACATTCCTTATACAGATATATATATATATATATATATATAAAATTAACCTATTAATCATGGTTATAGTCTAAATACCAGACCAAAGATAGATGACTGAAATGATGAGTATTACATAGGTATATAATTAATAAAATACCGTAGCCCATTTGAGCATTTCTGTATCTTGAGCTATTATCATAAATTGATTTATGACTACGAGATAATATCATCTATTGTAGTTTTAGAAATCAGCACGGAGAGATACTTAATCAAGGAATAGCTAAAGTCAGCTTATGAGTAATCATCTTAGAAGACAGGCTTCATTTACAGTAGAGTAAATATCCTATAAACATGCTATATGTATATTATTGACAATTTTGTACCGATTTGGCTAGACGTAGAAGCATCATCTTGTTGATTCATTTCTATTTCTTCCTGCTTAAGCCTCGGTGATCGAATGAGGTCCTGTTGATACCAACAAGCATGCATTTTTAGTCTTAAGCTAATTATAACATTTGTCTATTTACAGCGAACATGCGTACAAAAAGATATTGTAAGTGGTAGCCCTAAATCCTGAAGGTAAGGTTTGCCATACGGAGCGACTTTTAGCATTATGGGCGTACATACTGTACATAAATTAACGTTAGTAGCTGTTCGTAGCTACATATTGTTGATTTCTATTACTCTATTCTAATGTTTGAATAGTGTTAATTAACTGAATCTACTGTAATACTAATTGAAGCATGATATCCATAATTAATCTCAGATAACTATACGCTAACAGTACAATCGATTACTGGTATGTTATGTGTAATATCGGTTTATGGATAGCATTAGAGGTATCCAGGATAGTATTGGTGTTATCCCCTAATTCTCCTAGTAGGACTGATCTTAGCTATTATCTAATTGCTGTTGCTACCCGGATAGTTTCGATACTATTCATTACCCGACATTATCTATAACACTCATATGCAGTACAACTACAAGTAACAGTACTGTAGTCGAAGGCACTAACGCAGCGATAATAACATTTTGATCTTGAAAAAGGTAGCCTTTAGCGTAGCTTATAATAGAAAAGTCAATTCTGGATAATGACAAAATTTACTACAGTCTGTATCTATTAACAAGGATCATACCATAGAGGTAAAAAAAGCCTTTACGGATCGTGCTTTAAAGGATGTAAAGATCGTATTTTACACATACTTAATTATTTATCTTCCAGGAACACATACAGTACTGTAGTTACAAAACAAGGACAATTAAAATTTCGGAGGCAATAGTAAGAGACGATAACAGTTGCATCGATGTATCATTAACAATCATGTAAAGTTTATAGGTGATGGTAAAAATTCAATAAATTGAAATAGTATTTATCTTCAAGTTGAGTGAGTGTGGATTGAAAACGAACACCTATGCGAAAATAAACACTTTTTGATGTTGGAAATGGAATTTATCAAGCACACGTATACTTGTACAGATGCCAACGTTTACGATATTTTGGTAACAAATGACTAGTACATAGGGACCTTTTAAGACGTCCCTGTTTTATCATTGGCTCGCGGGGACGATTTTAGTAATTACTGTAGAAAGTATAGATGCAAACGTTTACAATATTTTGGTAACTATAGACTAGTATACAGGTACGACGGTACCTACTTTATCGAGGGACTTTTAACAAGTCTGTGCTTTATCATGGACTTGGTTTGATAATTTTAGTCATTACTGTGCACAGACGTTGAAAGTGGAGAGTGGAGACAATAAAATACGGTAAACATTTACCATGGTGAAAGATTAACTCCTAGCAACACAGTACGGAATCATCTTCAAGTACTTGTTTCACTCTAAAATCGACTAGGCGTAATAAAGATCATCAGATGTACACAGCGGTGATCCAGTTTAAGATTTCCGAATAAAAAGTTTTAAGAGATTTATACATCTAAGGTATATAATTAGCAGCAAGACAGAAGAAACGTCAAACTTTAGAAATTACTTTCAATCTTTTACACGATTGCAAGGGCGATAAGCTGTTTCTTTGAGCTAGCAGGCTCGTCTCTTGCCTTTGCATAACATCCATTTACTGTCAAGTGGCAGCATGCGCGTACCTGATGATCAGTCAGTTTGATGATAAGCATGTCAGATCAGACATATCTCCGACATTCAATGCTTCATTATTTCCCGTACACTTGGCGTAATTTTGCAGTTAAAATGACTATTGCAAAGGGAAAGGGGTAACTTGAAGATTATATAATTATAAAAGGGATCAAAGTTGTAGCATATATAGCTCGAGTTGTTTTGTTTGTTTTCAAGCGTATGTCAGCCGGTATTGATAATAATCATGAGAGACAAAGTGAAGAGTTACAAGTTTGATTCTTGAGCAATTTAATCGGTAAGTTGATGGCAAGATAAACAGTATTGTAGTATTACCTTTCGATTTAACTATTGTAGTTGTAGAATAGCTCCATTTTCCGCTTTAGTTAACCTTAACAGTCAATGCGTAGTAGACGTGAGTAGGCATCCCTTGCCCAAAAGAACGAATGAGTCAAGATCGAGATTGATGTTGAAAGTACGTGAGCATGTAGAATACCTTTCATCCAATGTGTGAACAAAGATAGAATGAAAGTAAAAATTTGGGACGACTTGTGTATGCTAGATGGACCAAATTTCTTTGCTACGGTAAGATATTATTCCACTAGTAATCAATTGACTGCGTCGGCATGGCAGTTGATTGCAATTTTTACAAATGGTTTCTCGAATTTGAAGCTAAAGTTGCGCACTCTCAGTTTTCAAATGTAAGAGAGTACTTTCACTTAACCGATGAGAGAAAAAACGAAAATCGGTACTGGAAATTAGCCGATTATGGTATCTTTTTACGATTAGCAATCGTTAATCAACTAGGCTACTTTTTATCTTATTGTATCCATTCATCATCCCATGGAAAGTCGTGTATTGACAATGACAGTAAGTTGACAATCACTGATGGCTATCCTACAAGTAGCTGGAGAAAGTCCAGTAGACGACTACTCTGTCTATTGGGAGTATTTCAATTAAGGGTCAAGTTTACTCTACTCGCATCATAATGATGAATATCGCAGTTTCTACATGTTTTCTATGTCTTTCTATTTTGGGGGAATAGCATGCTATAGTAGAGTATCGATTCATTCATTGATAGTATTCATCTTTTTACCATGAGATGCTAATTATGTACGCCTAAAATGAATTCATTTCTCCTGAGTTTTAACATGGTTGAAAGAGGCGAATAGACAGTGAGTGATGTACATTGTCATTTCTAATGCATATAGTGTGGAATACAAGTAGATAGAAGATGGATAAATACCCTATCCTACGTTCAATCGTTGAAAAAATGGAAATAATGTCATGTACTTGGTTATCCATTTTCTCAACAGTAAAAGAAGTTGAGAAAAGCTACAGGATTCAATTCAGTTTGAAAGGCATTATTAGAAGTCGCTAATCGTCCTATACGAGTGGCACATTCATCACGGCTACGATTGCATTGGGATATCGCATGCATTTGAATCCAATATCAAGCAGAGAAATTGCTCGATTGATTTCGACATCGATTGCTATTCAATGATGATATCATGGATGATGAAAGGCCGGCCTACAACGGTAGAGTAGTTGATGGCGATGATCGCCATTTGGCTATCACAAAAAGGAGTTTACGTGTCCATCATGGTTGGCACCATGCAAAGAGTTCAGCCGATAGGAACTATCTCGCCGTGTTCAATAACGCTTACCTTAATATCTTCAAGGTGATCAAAATTTCAACGGTATGCAATTGACCCTCAGGTTTTTTCTCTTTTTTACGGGCCTAAAGCGTATTGCAATTTCTTTTTCTCCCTCTTAAACCAACTGATTGTAGATCTACGTCAGAAAGTTTGTCTTGAGATTTTGCAATAACTCGCTACTATCCACGTACAATACGTCAGGAAAGGGCTGCTCTGGCTACTCAACTCTACATGCTACACTTACCCATACATACCATCCAGTACTAGCCTTGAGTATACATGGAGTCGTGGAGTCGAAAATTGGACCAGACCGGTGTAAATACGGTAAAATAAATAAATAAATAATAATCAATCACTCAATAGTATCAAGACAATGCTGGTCTAATGCCTATTCTGTGACAGCTGTATGAGTCAATACTATGTTGTAGCGGATGGAGCGGACGGACAAGCGAGGAAAACGATGTGCAGAATGGTTTGTCATCTTGTGGGATCATGGTGTCCGTTATGTTAACTTATTACACTGTCTACTAGGACAAAAAAAGAATAAAAACGGTCGAATAGGTGACAGCTCATTTTGCACACGACTTTGCTACAACGATCCTGAAGTAGGCTGCCAGCTTCTGCAAATACAACACCCTCCGTTTCTTCTTCGTAAAACACTTTTCTTTATTGCATAAAACCAGAGCTTTTACCAAAGATCACCTAGATCTCTTTCCCTATAGTGATAGTTTGATACTTGCACAGTCTTATCATCAAACTTGCCGCATGCTCTATTTCAAAACCTCCATTTCTTCTTCGTAAACACTTCTCTTTATTGCATAAAACCAGAGCTTTTACCAAAGATCACCTAGATCTCTTTCCCTATAGCGATAGTTTGATACTTGCACAGTCTTATCATCAAACTTGCCGCATGCTCTATTTCAAAACCTCCATTTCTTCTTCGTAAACACTTCTCTTTATTGCATAAAACCAGAGCTTTTACCAAAGATCACCTAGATCTCTTTCCCTATAGTGATAGTTTGATACTTGCACAGTCTTATCATCAAACTTGCCGCATGCTCTATTTCAAAACCTCCATTTCTTCTTCGTAAACACTTCTCTTTCTTGCGTAAAACTAGAGCTTTTACCAAAGATCACCTAGATCTCTTCCCCTATAGTGATAGTTTGATAGTTGTACAGTCTTATCATCAAAGTTGCTGCATGCTCTATTTCTTCTTCGTTAACACTTCTCTTTATTGCGTAAAACCAGAGCTTTTACCAAAGATCACCTAGATCTCTTTCCCTGTAGTGATAGTTTGATACTTGTACAGTCTTATCATCAAACTTGCCGCATGCTCTATTTCTTCTTCGTAAATACTTCTCTTTATTGCGTAAAACCAGAGCTTTTACCAAAGATCACCTAGATCTCTTTCCCTATAGTGATAGTTTGATACTTGCACAGTCTTATCATCGAACTTGCTGCATGCTCTATTTCAAAACCTCCATTTCTTTTTCGTAAAACACTTCTCTTTCTTGCGTAAAACCACAACTTTTACCAAAGATCATCTAGATCTCTTTCCCTATAGTGATAGTTGTACAGACTTATCATCGAACTTGCAGCATGCACTATTTCTATCTTACGCGTATATTTCAGTTTCGAAGGCCATTTGTCGACACTCTACTGTATTCTACAACAAGTGGGAGATTACCACTGGTGTCGTGATGCTCGTACAATAATAAAGGAGATTAACAGGCCAACTTTGGGTTAACATTGATGGATTGTAAGATCACTATCGGTCTCGTAATCCTACTTTATTAACGATACACATGCTCTGGCTATCATCACTAATAGTAGTACAGTAATTAATTATGTAAAAGTAGCTTGCATAAGGATTTACTTGACTGTGTACTGAGCAGAGCAGACCAAAATCAGCAAGAAAAAGACGTTGTTATCGTTTACTAGGCTTTAATACTTTAGCTCCCCAAAGGTAGCAATATTGCCTTGTAAAATATCAATTTACTTACATAAATACAATGTTCCAAAGGAGTCAATAATGCAACAGCATTTCCTAAACTGTACGATCTTGTATAGCAATACAGAGCAAGTATATATAGTAATCCTACAAGCTATGAACGGAAAGCTGTATTATGGATCATAGCTTGGAGCCAAAAATCGTGGCTGAGCAGTAAGCACGGCCAAGCTAGGTATCTGATATCCTTACGGACTCCTTGATAAATGATGTCCTTTAATCGTCAGCAGGGATCATAAGTCATGACTGGACGAGAGATAAGCTGGATATTCAAATTACTGATTTTAACCATAGCTAATTAGCGTCAATTTATACCTTTAGCCAATTATATTCAAGAATAGCGATTGCCTAAGCCGCATTTACAACTCCCTACCACCAAATAAACCATCATCATTTACCTTAACATTGAACATATACAGTACAGTATTTATCTACATAATTTAACTCTCATACAAGTCCAAAACGAAAACTACATTATTATTTTATAAAAGCGAGTCGCTATTTGATAACGAATCCTGATAGTAATGCATACGTGGACATTTTATAGCCATGTTATTCAAAAAGTACGAGTTGCATATCATACATACTTGCAGATTAATACGGCGAATTAGTATTTTGTCTATTTTGGGCAATTACTTAAGAAGCGCATCAGATAATGAGCTGTAAGAATGATCTTGAAATAAAAAATACAAGTTGCGTATCATCTCATTTTATAATATAATATAATATTGTAATAGCTTGATTATAAATTTTTCTTTCGCCTCTCCTTCTCCATTTCGACCTGAATATTTCTTAGAAAGGTGTTGAAGAAACCTTCTTTTACTTCTTGACTTTTAGAATAAGGAGCTTGAGTTCTCCGTTTCAAATTTTCAACACTCTCATTGCCTAAATTGATTATACAGTACAGTATATCGTAACGCAGCAGTTTTGAATTATTTGAAAGGCAATCATACTGAAAGCTATATTTGATTACCTCAGAAATGTTCAAATTATATTTTACAAAACGCAAATCCAGCCATTGTGCAACTGAATTTCAATGCATTACGTCTATTCTATGCACTCACCCACATTCCGCATTTTGAGGTAATGATAATGAGTTAATTGGGCAAGCCTACGCATAAGGTAGGAATTGGCCAGCTACAGATTGGAAATAATGTTTGATTCATTCTTGTTAAGGATAATAATTAAATCATGAAATGCTATTCTTACCCTTTCCGTTAAATATTGGCTTGCAAATCGGCTTGGTAATGACAAATAATAATATTAGCATTCGATTGTAGAGGATTGTAAATTTATAGATTTAGTTCAACCTGAATGACTAAGGTCGAAAGAAAGTCCAATTCACCTATATCTATTGCAGTAATACTTTTACCCTACCGAATCTGAGAATGAATCATTTCTCAATTACTACCGTATCTCTATTTCTTGAATACGATGTATTATTACTTTGATAAAGATTGACGATGGTATCATTTCAGTGAATTCTTTGTCAATTATTACTCTATCTATTTCAGAATATTGTTACTTTAATTGAAGAATCAAGATCCATGAATGAGTACTTGTAGTGAATTATTTGTAAATGATTGTTGTGTCTCTGTTTCAGAATATTACTACTTTAAAGAATTGCGATAAACGATTGTATCATGGATTGCTTACAAAGTCCGTTACATGATGGATTGTTTAATAACATGGCAGCAAGTAGAATATATAAAGTATATTATATGCGATGCAATCACTTGTATCGCGTATACCCTACTAGGAAAGGCTGAGTTGCAATTTTGAATTACCTACCATGTCATCTTCTACGATTTCAAATCAAATCGTATCATGGTATCATCTTCAACTTTATGAAAAAGCTTACTTTCTGGTGTATTACGAACTACAACAGTCTATCGATACTGTAGAAGAAAATAGAAGCCGATGAAGAAGCTGATTGAGAAATTTGAAAAATTTTTAACCTTGTCAATTGCTGTCATGCTGGATTGACACGTAGCTTAGTTATGTCATGCAGTTACTATGCAAGCTAGTACGACATCAAAGCAAGTGTAGTTCATTGTGATGACTAATCAACCCCTGTACAAACTATTTAAGGTGACAAAGTGTACTTGAATAATATTTCTGTTCTCAACCTATCTCTTCATTCAACATTCACCATTTGCATCATGCAATCAAAGGTAATTCAACCTACCTAATAAAACGTTCCCAAACCATGTCGAGATTGATTAAGTTCAAGGAGTGACTGCCGGCTATGGAAAGGTTCTTGACTGACTGTACTGTTACTAATGATATCCCCACGAGATAATGACGAATACACAGCTTGGATGTTGTTATTGTTCACCTAATAAGGGCAACTTTAACTTGGTGGGAAAGAAATATCCAGGTAGGTCATTTTTACCTTAGCACAATCATGACTAAAAATAAAACTTGCTACTGTACAGGGACTGGAAAATGGCAAATTTGGAAACTTATCGTGTGCTGAAAACACTGCTGGATTTTCACTCCTGTATTGTACTGTACAGTATAGAAGTCAAGCTTTGAAGCCTTCATTGGTCCCTGGCTGAATGGGAATAGAGTATCGTACCGTACGATACAGTACAGTACTTTCATTCTTTCTTTTACAGTAAGTACTGTAGCGTCATGTACTGTGCACTGTAGAGCTTTCTGAGTCATGACTATGATTCAGTATCATGGACTACTTCAGTACTGATACGCAACTGCAAGAGTGCAGGTAGACCTGAGAAAGGTTCGATTCGGTTCGAACCGTTATGAGCTATGTCTGCAGGTCTTTTTTGCGTAGTCCATGACAGTCTGTGTACACTGTACAGTACTGTAGTGGCACACTAGATTGCATCATCTCAGCAGTATCATTAATTCATGAATGAATTAATGAGCAGCTATTTGATCCGGTGGCTTACAAGGCTCAGCGCAATACGCCGTAAGAACTGATGAAATTCAAGTTTGCGCGATATCACTTGAAGATTGTGTGACATCATTTCTGTAGCGTATCACCAGTTCTTACGGCGTATGCGCGGAGCCTTGTGAGCCACCGGAATTTGAAGCCCCATACTGTACCTACTGTACATCCACTCTAGCGTATTGACTTGCCAATCAATGTCAATAAATGCCTATTTTTCATAGAGTAGTATCTCCATCTTTCCAATTTACAGCACTGTACCCAGGGACTTTGTAAAGGCCAGTATTACTTTCATTACAAGTCCCTGACTGTGCTGTCATATTTTAATTTTAGTGCGTTGTAGTCGTGACGTAATGGACCGTTATAACTATACTTTCACTATGCGGACGTGTCACTGACTACAGTACAGTACAGTACTGTACGCTACGTGTGGTGTACAGTACTCAGTGAGAGATGACCGTGCAGAAATACTCTACTGTACAGTACTGTACAGTACAGTATAGTAGAGTACAGTAGAGTACAGTACACTACACTACAGTGTACAGTACTGCCATGATTGGACATCGCACTCTAGCCTACCGTACTTTGTACTTTACTTACAAAGTACAAATACCGCATCATTCACCCATCACAAACAGTACTGTAACAAACTTCTTTCGCCTTGTTGTTGTGATCGACTGGCTGTCAGTCTTGTGCATTGGAAGAAAAAAAAAAAACATCCCTAACAGTCCCTATTGACAAATCTTAAACGCAATGATGGAGGCCAAATCATCACTCAAAGTTGATATTTCTTTCACCAATATTCAAGGTCGATATCATCGAGGAGATAACATACAATTTGATGTTGAGGGAGTGCAAGAATCCAATTGCAATGATGGCGATTGGATCGGATTATTCAAGGTTGGATGGAAATCAGAAGAAGATTGCTTGCTGCGTCAATATGTCGGCACTGATTGCTCCAATGATACGCATATCAACAAATATGTATTACCAATCCCACAAGAAATTACCACTGAAAGTACTTATCAACTGTGCTATATGAATCATAAAAATCGATTGGTTGCAGTAAGTCGTAGCTTCACTATCCTTCCTCTTGAACTGGATGAAGCCGATAATGATTATGACTGGCTGGACTTGTTCAATGTTCAAGGCGATGTAGTAGTTGTCAGTAGACAGAATAACAATGAAACTATACCGACATCATTTGAAGATTTGATAGCTGCTAATATGACATTGGAGAGTCAATTATCTAGTATGAAAATTGAAAAAGACGCGCTTGATACTTTACTGGCAGAAAGCAAGCAATCTGTAAACATGTTAAAGAGTCAAGTAGAGCAAGTACGAGCGGATAATCAAGCCAAAGCACAACGGATTGATGAATTAGAACTAGAGCAAGAGAAGATGGCTATCAATTTATCCTCCTACGAAGATCGTTTAACATCAGCATTAGATAAACTTTCCGAAAGTGAGCAAATGAAAGGCCAATATTCCCTTACAGTAGATAATGCATCACTGGAAAACCAACAACTAAAAGCAATGATTACAAATCTGCAAGAGATTATCGAAAATAATACTACCGAGATAGCTACCATCAAAGATATGCTAAATCAATCCAATGATGATTTACAAAATGCCCACGTAAGAAACGACGAACTTAAAGATGTAATTAGTCATCTAGAGAGTTTGATGGAATCATCACAAGCCAACGATACCTTAGTCAAGGATTCATTAATAGGCAGTATAAATATCTTGAGACGGAAGGATGACCATGAAGAAGCTGAGAATTTCGATAGTCGTACGTTGCTTGATTGCGCTCAAGTAATAGAATTAGAAGTTAAGAAATGCACTGATGCGTTGACTATAGAAAAGAATCATAATAGTGACTTTGAAGAGATTATTAGAATACTCCAGGAAGAATCGAAAAGTTATCAAGATGAAATTGAAAGGTTAAGCCGTGAACTACGCCATAAAGAGAGAGAAGAAAAGACTTGCGCTAAAAATTCGACAATGGCGCTGTATGTTGCTCACGAACATTTAGAAGAACAACATGTGGATGCAGTGAAAAAAGGAAAAGCTTTGTATCGACGATTATCGGATTCCCAAACCAATCTGAAATTCGCAGTTGAGTTAAATACTAACCTAAAACGGCAGGTTGCAGATTTATACGCTAGGTTAGATATGAGTAAAGAAGCCTACAAAGACAAAGTCATTGAATGCTATCGACTTCAAAATGAAATCAAAATTGCCAAAGATAAAGCTAATATGGGTAACCAATATTATCCCCTGCAAGATGATGAAACGATGGCTAAAAGGGAATTACAAGCAAAAAAGGAAGAGTTAATGAAAGAATTGTCCACTAAAAATGCACAAATACAGATACTGTGCGAAACACGGGCGAGTTCGGAACAAGAAATGAATCTGATGATTCAAGAACTAGCTGCATGTCATGATTCCTTGGAACAAAAGCAAAGTGAAATTGATTCATTAAAGGCAAAAATGCTCCATTCTGCCGTTCATTAAGGAGCATCCGACAGACCTCAACGCATTGAAGCTATCCACCGTTTGCTCTTGAGAGTACGAAGTGTAATATTGACATCGAAAAGTAAAATAAATTCTAATATATTATCCATTTTTATAGTTTTTGAAAGTGATGACTTAGAAAGAGCAAAAGCTCATACACAGGTTATGGTTAAAATAGAGTGCAAACTACAGTAGGTAATTTCAGGGAAAATTATTATTATGCTAGTAACAGAATAGATAACGGAGTACATTGTATCGTTATGAAATTACCTGCTACTCAATACTGCTATTAACTTACGTCCACTGGTAAAGCCTATTTAATTTAAGATTAATATTAACATGTCCTAAACTTACATAAGTTCACTGAAATGTTATTATCATCATAATAATTATACTAATGGTGTTAGTAGCATCCTTACACCTATAAACTAAGGCATCATATCAACGAAATTGTCAAGAAATGAAAAGTAAACTACCGGTTTAAGCCAAGTCTTATGTGGTTGATTATTCTGCTCGACTATTGTAGGTTCAAATCGCATTTCGAAATGGAAACGTGCACTTTATACTGGATTATTAATAATAACTATTAGGCCTCTGCATTTGGTTCAATAGGATCTGATATAATTATACTCTTATAGTAAGTAATGTCTAGCCCAGAGAAAATGATTGATACTGGACTGGATGCTGTAAAGTACAGCCATCCCGGCATACTCATTTATTCCTCTACTATTTAAATACGTATGTATACAGTATGTACGCCTGCTTTTCTGGCCTATTTAAGACAAAGACTTGCTGAATTTCTGTTAGTTTTTCTTCATGAAAAGTGGCGATGATGCAAAAATGCCGTGTAGCAAAGGCATACCGAAAATAAAATCAATCAAATCATTGTCTTGAGCCTTATGCTGTACACTATACAGTACAGTGGAATATCGTATGTTCTAGTTTTTCATTTCATAGCCAAATCGAATCATTTTCTTGGGCATTTTTGTCCAAATTGCAGCTGTCCTGGTGCTATAGATGAAGTCAATTGGATAGGCAAACATGTCTCTAAAATAGAGCGCTATCAATAGTATTGTTGTGTAGGTACTGTATCAGTATCATACTACTAAATCAGCTGCAATATGTTAACAACAACAAACGGCCTAATCAAACTGTATACCAGACCTCTTATACCGAGTCATAGACTACTAAGCCATCTTATTAGTGCATGTTAACGTTGCGGTTGGTTGTCTAGTTAGTGCAGTGGATGCACAGACTACTAGTTTTCTTTGGGTAGTTCATGGTTGATATTACTACTCCTAAACTGCATGTCAGTGACCAAAAAAAAGGGGGGGGGGGATCTAATAAAGCGAAGTAGTGTAGCCGCCATATACACATACAGTACAGTACAAGTGTTGTGTCATTTGCTAAATTTGCTAACTACTGTATACCGAGTCCTGGACTACTAGGCCATCTTATTAATGCATGTTAACGTTGCGGTTGGTTGGCTCGTTAGTACAGTGGATACATACACAGTAGACTACTAGTTTTCTTTGGGCAGTCCCCGAAACTCCATGACAGTAAAAAAAAAGGAAGGGGGATCTAATAAAGCAAAGTTGTGTAGCCGTCATACACATACTGTACAGTTCGGTAACTACACCGGAGTCCCTGGACTACTAGACCATCTTATTAGTGCATGTTAACGTTGCGGTTGGTTGGCTAGTTAGTGCAGTGGATGCACAGACTACTAGTTTTCTTTGGGTAGTTCATGGTTGATATCACTACCCCTAAGCTCCATGACAGTAAAAAAAAAAAAGGGGGGGATCGATCTGGATCTACTTTAACCTAGCCTAATAAAGCGAAGTAGTGTAGCCGCCATACTGTACAGTGTACAGTGTACAGTACTGTATATGACATATACTGTACTGTACAAGTACAGTACAAGTGTTGTGTCATTTGCTCAATTTGATAATAAATCAAGTACTGTACTAAACGTCGACAGTACAGTACAGTACGCTTTGTAGGACTACAGTACATTGGACAGTGGACAGTAACCGATTGTCATGACGGTCATTATGGTTTAGAGTCTTTGGACTAGTTCAATTTTACTGTGCTTGATTGCCATCAGCAAGTTTTTGCCTCACTCAGACTGGTTATAATTTATCATGCCGCCTAAATCGAGAAAATTATGTGTGTTAGGCTTTAGGCAAGTTGGTAAGTTGATAGAAGACAAGTTAGAATAAGCAATGACCACTATTGATGATCATTTCTTTCACCATTGAATGAATATAATGACTTAACTAGTTGAAAGTAGTTGTGTCTCGGCTTGATATCCAATACAAAACAACCAAGTGGGACGGTATTCTTCAGGCTGAGTTTCCATACTGCTACAGGTGTACGTACGTAGGATGTATACTGTAGTGCAGTGATGAGAAGTGGTATGTTGTTAGATAATCAACCGGAGGTAAATAAACGTATCTAGTCAATCGTTATTGAAAAAAAAAACTTATCGAATACGATAATTCTACTATCGATCAACACATGATGGAGGATAATGATCATCAAAATGAGTTGTTAGACTTGCTGGATGATGATTTTCACTTTAGTGTATCCTTCCTCTTCGATGAAAAACGAGATAGACATACGACGAGTACAGTAGCAATCCAAAAATCCAGACATTGATGTAGTCGTCAATGCTGCTCTCGTAAGTGTAACGTATTTCCATCAGTTGATAGAGCACCACCAGGTATTTATCATAGGGTAAATTGGAATGATTGGTCATTTTTATTCCTCTTGATAGAATGCTATCACTAAGGATGAGGTAAACGTCGCTTTTAGCTTCTATTAAACTTAATGGATGTGATTTTCAATAGTCACCAAGTTGATCCATTATTTAGACTCCATTGTAGCCTTTTATTCAACCACGATTGCAAGATGAAATGGACGTCTGTACTGTATTATAGAGTGTACAAATCGGTCAATTTGTAATCGTAATTCAATCCAATCAAGGAAATACACCTAAATTGGCTAAATTTCAAGACCCTACAGTGATCTAGTCTTACTGCAAAATAGAAGCTTTGAGTAACGTAAGTATCCAATGGATAAAGACGACATATCAACAGCTTATCACGACGTACGAGTTATTATTGTAAAGTATACAAAATTGATATCCCCTGGGCAGCAATCAAACACTACTGTATAATATTCAATTAACCCAGCAACCATTCTTTTTCAATCTCAAAGTGACAATATTTTCTACAACAGTGGATGATTCTCTTTCACTATTTGCACATACTTCCTAGAATGCAATTATTAATGAACATTATATTATTTACTAACTAGGGAAATCCTCTCTTATTATTCAATTGGTTGATAATCAATTTGTGGCCTCTTACGATCCTACTATTGGCGGGTGTAAGTTTCTTTGCTAAGTTATGCTAAGATTTACTCCATATCGACAGGAATGTAAAGTAGTCATTAAACTTAGAATACAAAAATTGTTACCCATACAAAGTTCTATCGTAGCTTCTGCTATAAAGTGCCTGGGTTATTCCACAAGTATTGGACATGCAACTTGTGCTTAAAAACTACAGTAATCGAAGAATACCTCTACCAACTATCAATCTTAAGAATTCGCTGTAGTTGTTATCTAGAAGATTTAGGCTTTATCCTCCAATCAATTATTTATTCGTATCTCGTTTATTCAATTAACTTCATAAATAGCTTAGTACGTTATATTTCATTGTAAGATAGTACAATCGTATATTTTTTAAACTTTGATGAGTAGTCGAAATTTGCCTTACTGTAATGATTATCGTCACTAGGGCTATTGGTACCTCAATTTGCTATATTGTCTTACCATGACATTAAAATTTAAATTCAATATATCTTTAATCATTATGATAACTACTTACGATTGCGAAAAGCTGACAGTAATAACGTACATTGAATAGTAGTTTGCGATATTTATCATGTTGCACACCATAACTCTACACTCAGTCTACAGGATCTACCAAGTAGATTATAATTTAATTTTAGTCCTTTTCTTTATGCAGCCTTTGAACATACTATTAAACACAGGGGGATAGAATACCGCACAACTATTGTTGATACGGCTGGCCAGGTAAGACTTTTTGTCGTAACAGTAGAATAATCTTTTAACTTAATAAATTTGTCCTTAACTTGTTGTCGTTCATCTTGTACCGTAATTCTAAAAGTACTCTTTATGAAATCTTTATCACTCGTACAAACCATGTTATTTGTAATTACTAGCTTTCGATATTATCTAATAATTACATTTGCGATGAACAATTTGCAACAGGATGAGTATGCAGTCTTGCCACAATCCTATTTTATGGATATTCACGGTTACATCTTGGTATATTCTATAACTAGCAATAAGAGGTGAATATTCCTTGCTATAAGTTGGCTTTAAAATTGATCTTACAATAGCATGTGTCTTAGTAACTATAATTACTACTGCCTTTTGAATAGCTTTGAAGTAGTTAAAGATGTACGAGAAAAATTACTAGATATGACCGGGACGACTCAGTAAGTTTGATATTAACATTACTCAAATAAATGTTTTATTATAATGCTCACAGCTAAACTTCAGTACATCTAATGTAATCATTCTAAAATCTGCGCCATTTTTATCAGTGTTCCAATGATATTGGTAGGCAATAAGAGCGATTTGCACATGGAAAGGTAAGCCTTACACCTATCATTTCGCAGAGATGTTTTTATTTATATGCGATTGTTTCACTGACATTTATTCGTTTGCTGTAATAAACTTATTTTCAGAGTTATTAGTTCAGAAGATGGAAAAAAGCTTGCAAATTCATGGAATGCAACATTTGTAGAATCCACTGCTAAAAGTCATGAGGTATGCTTTCCATATTAATGCGTATGCTTTTTGTAAGACTATATTGAACTATTAATTCTATGAAGATCATACCTTTCTAACTTCTGTTAGCACCGACATATTATTAAAAATCTCAATCTACTATATACGCGTATTTTTTTATTTTATTAGAGTGCCATACAAGTATTTCTAGGCGCTTTAGAGGAAATTGAAAGAGTAGAAGGTAGATTGCAGGGAGGGCAAAAAGGAGGCGATTGTACACTTATTTAATAATACTCTAGTTATAAGTAGGAATTGTCTTCATTTTCTTTTGGAAAAACTGAAGCAATTCTTTATCTCGAATTATTGTACTTACGGCCTTGATGTATGTTTAATGTGAGTATTTCATTGTCTGACTTTATAAATATTAACTTGACAGATTGTCGTTGCGATACCACTACAATCTGTTCGTCATTCAAAGAATGCTAAATGAAGCAGTATAATTAAAACTTATTTACAAGCTGTTTAGATCTCATATCCAAAATTAGGTGAAATAAGGAAAATGTTTTGCTTTTTCTAATAATTGGCTAGATACGCTAAAGAAGTAAGAAAAAAGATCTACACTTCTTTTATTCATGTATCATATAATTTTATCATACAGAAGGAATTTATTCCGGCTATTGTAACCGTTGATATAGCTGTTTATGATATTCGTTCGTATAGTAGAATATTACCAATTAGCAGTTATGAATATAATCTGATTGTGCCGTCAGCTCCGGCACTCAATAGCCAAGGTTCCGATGGATGAAAAGTGCAATCTAAAACTCCTGTCAATAATTAATAGAAATAATAAAAATGAGACCTTTCATATTTATATATTGATGCTAAGGATAAGTACTAGATTAAAAAAACGTATTAATGTTTCGCTCCCTAACCGAGATCATTGGAAATGGTATGACTTCGTAAAATTTTAACAGGAACTATTAGAGGATTTTGCATTAGGTCACTAGATTGGTAACCACATAAATTTATATAAAAGTTTAGTACCGACAAGATCTCATTTACTGCACGAATATAAACTTTATTCAGTATGAATTCCGTTTACTTAAAAACTCTGCCATGACAAATTATTACTGTGCCATCGTCACTTGCAGATGCAAATAAGGGATAACATTTATGGAAAACCACACTTCTAATAGCCATTTTATGTTGCCTATTTAGCAACGAAACATAATACAGTTTATATTAAATTAGACATTAGATCTACATGCATATTAGCTAAACTAGAAAACGTAAAAGAATACTATGGCTTATACAGTGTATGAATACCTTAAGGTTTTATATGGCTTGGTAGACAAGTCAACATCAAACCAACATAAACGTGCATCGTAACTTCCAATGATGATATTATCTCCTGTAAGAAACAATAACGGGATAGCTGTAATATTTCTTTCAATCTTTCTAACACTAGAAGCTACTGAAGGTAATCAATCCATTAAATTTAACCTTGTGGATGGACAGCTAAGCTCGATATCCACTTTACTCCACTAGATAGCTTCTTAGCGAGTTGTTGCTTTACCAGATTATAGATGCGTATATATGTTTGAGTCTAAAACATCAAGAGATTAGCAGTTAATACACTTTTGCATCAATTGTTGTTGCCAAAAATGCATCAATTTGCCGATTTAAAATTCCTACCGCTACAAGCATAAATGGTTTATTAGGATGAAATTGAACACATTGCACAAGGCCACGGCAACGTTTAAATGGAACCTACACGATTATAAATATAATTATTATCATTCCATTCAGCTTATTATAGACAAAAAAACATCCAAGATTATATAGAACATCGCAGTAACGAAATCAAGGTTAACCATACTTGGGTGCGGGCCTTTGATAGCTGATGAACTAGTACTGACTTATTTCCTCCTTTTAGAAAATTTTAAATTGGTAGTTCATAACAAAATAAATTTTTGGAAATAATAGCAAAAACGATTTAACGTTAACAAATTTACCTTTTCGATGAACAGTAGCGAAATAGTCGCCCTTATTATGCCATGTAATACAATCTACATTCTGAAGCATTCAACAGTTACGTTATTTATGAATCTAGGTATTAGAATATCATATCTTTAGAAATTATTATTAATTAATTATTGCAATTTACATTCGAACACTTAATGACAATCCGCTCTCCCGTGTTGTAGCTGTTTTCATCCGACATAATCCACTTTGCCGAATTGTCTAAAATTTTATAGAAAAGCTTATTCTGAATTTAACCGTAGACCACAAGTTTACCAAAAATTAATGACGGAAGTTTAATAAAATTTAATAAGTCATAAGGTCAAGTATTTGCTAAACTTTCAGTACCCTGTGAACTACTTATTGGGATTGATTTTATGACTTCATCTGTTACATTAGTTTTAGCCTTATCATCTTCAGTGAGAGCAGGATTAATAATCCTAACTTGCTGACCGCTTCGATTACATTAAGAAAAATCAATACGTCAATACAGTACTTAGTTATATGCGTTAGATCCATATTGTAATTATTTTACCAAGCTATCAATACCAAATTGACCATCGGGTTTGGGCACCAGGATACTACCATAATTGAATCTTCAAATGTAATGGTTTTGATGCATCTACCAATATCAACATCCCAGAATCGAACAGTCTTGTCATCGCTTCCTGTTGATATTTCGCGACAAAATGTTAGAGTTTACTAATTTATTAGATATTCTACTCTTAAATTACGTGAAAAAATTCGATAATTTTATAAACTGACCTGAAACCATCCATCTACCACTAGGACTAAGACTGATACTCCTAACAATTGATGTATGGCCCTTATAAACCTTGTGGAATAGATATGTAGCTTGATAAATTTATCGAAATTTATTTTTTGATCGAATAAATTAAGCAAAAGAATATATACAATTCGTTCAGATGACGGAAATGGCTGGAGATCAGCTGGTTTAGGTAATTTTGGTAAGAGTTCATCTGGGTCAATTTGTATCTATCAAATGAAAATGATTTAAAAATTAAAGAGAAGCAAGCTAAGTGTACAAGCAGAACGCTGGGCTTTAATAACAAAGTGCCTTACCCTGTCTTTTTTCTGTCTTGGGCATAAATACAAATCAAGGCATCTTTCAAATCGTTCTTGAATAAATTTATTGTATGCGGGAACTGTTCTAAGATTCTGGTATCTACGAGCACAAAGAAATAATCGAAATGGAAAAAAACCCTTAATCTTTCATGGTTACACTAACTTGTATAGAGTAAGATGGAAGTAGATCACATAAACACTATGATCAATATACTTTTTAGGCAAAAAGTTTAGAGCTCTATCTTCAGGATCCTTTTCAATCCAAGCTTGAATCTATTTATTGAAAGTCATAGGGATGTCTTAATAATAACTTCACTAGTTGCACACTTATTAGAATTAAGTACAGACTTCTTTTTCATTCGGAAGGTATTCCGGTGGAGGATTATAGGATTCTTCATGACCTTTTAAAATACGGTGGATAAAAGTGACTTTTTCTCAGACATGTGTATAAAATAATTATAGAATTTTTTAATATACATCTGTGAACTACCTGGCATTTTTAATTTCGGAGCAGGAATATGCATTGGATGATCTTTCTACGGTGCCGTGGGGATTGCAAGTATGAATTTGTTTGAGTATAACTAATCTATGCCATCTCTAAAATATCAATTTTCTATGTTACCTGCTGGCCTTCTTTGTCCCATAATAGGTAATATTGTGGTTTAGCGTCCTTTTCAACTCTTGGTCTGATCCATCCATTTCTAATAGCTCTTACAATTTTCATAACCTAGACGACAGAATATTTTTTCTCTGATATTAGCAAAACGTAAAATGATACCATTGAATTATCAATCAACCTCCATACCCTTTTATGTTCCCATTTAGATGGAATAAATTTTGATTTTGGTTCAGGTTTATTTGATAATGGAGTAATCAATTGTTCACGAGTGAAAAAGTCTTCATATGGCTATCGGAAGTTATAATAATGGTGCATTTAGACACACGTAAAAGAGTACGCTAAGTACAACATACTAAGCAATGAATAATAACCAACTTGATAAGGATCGTAAGACGCATCAGGAAAGTTTCCATCCTGTATACGTTGAATTAATGCTAACTCTTCATCGGTTAAAACTATCTCTTTTCCGGTAGTTTTGTCTGTAACAGTTCTCCTGAGATGCAATTTTTAGGTTAGTAAGAGTTCGATATCAATATTAACGGTAATCACCATACCAAAAATTTGGGTCATCCATTTTCTTTAAGAAATTGTCCAGCTAAAGCCAATAAAACAATTCTTAGAACAATTTCCATGGTATTACATTACCTAATAGCAATCAGTAACAGTATATCAAGAAATTGAGTTAGAACTTGTATCATACTCACTTCATCGGTTTTCAGTGGCTTCGGGATTTTCTTTCCTCCAAGGTTGTAACCGATATGTGGATAGTCATCGTACCAGTTCATAGGGATATTGCCGACGGTATTTCGTGGCTAACCGATTTATATTAAATAAAATTAAAGAATGTCAATTGCATGTCAAATCCATTATTAGAATAAATATGCTATGACGATCTAAATTGTTGTCATCTACATTTATGGTTATGCATTAACTGTTCAATAAATACATATACAATCATTGAGACTTGATGCTTTACAGAAATGACAGTATCCATCGAATGCAGACATACTACATTATCTCGTTACTGGTATACTGCAAATATATCCCTTTCGGCATTAAAGATCTGATGTAGCTTTAGGTTTTAAACGATTCAACACATAGGCTGCAAATTATTCAAAGTTAAAGTATTGTTTTGTTCACTATCATTTACTTGCCGAGATTACATCAAAATTATTGTACAGCAATTCTTTGTGATGATATATGAATAAAGTTATACGTACAAAATTGAAAGATACGCTATCATATAATATGAAGTACAGCTATACTGCATAGCTAATGATATTCAATCGAACAAGCTCCTCAAAATATATGTGAAGAGTTCGCAGTGGCTATAAAATAGAGTTTAGCATAAACTTTAACGATCGATACAAGGTACACTCTGTTTAATATCTGGAGGTGAGCAGCGCAGTATAAGTATTACAAAATAAAAGAACTCGATATATATGGTTCGCTATTTCCTTCGTTAAAAGATACTTTTAAGATACATTTTAGGTCATTGTTAGTAACCTCTTCATCTGAGGAGTCTTCTTCCGGTACCGCCTGAATATTTTCCTGACTGTCATCACTAAGGATATCCTTTTCCATATCCTAGAACAGATTGATTCAAATCAGAACTGCACCAATGTACCTGCAGTAACACATAAAGTAGTCTAGTAGCAATATACTATCATGTCACTAGATTACTTCACATAAAAATATAGGAATAACCAAATAGCTTCGTTAAACTTCCATTCGTCTATCCATTGTACTGCACTGTATCATTATCACTTTCATACTGTCATAGTTACAGGTGAATAAAGACAAAGTTGTACGTACCTCCTCGTCCGTTAAATTATCGTCAAATTCTTCCAAGCTAGCATTACCCTAATTATATAGAAATTTTGACAGGGTATTGTTTGTACTGTATATGATCATAGTGAAACAACCAAGTTATTGCATTCCATTTTATCCTGCTGTACTTCACAGTATAATCACTTTCATGGTATCAAATGAATAAAGTTATACCTCTTCGTCTGTTAATTGATTGTCCGATTCTTCCAAGCTAGCATCACCCTAATAGGTAAAGAGAAATATCTTAAACATCTCTTGTAATAATCGGTGCCAGATTTTATCCATATCATGATTATTACTAGTGACATTGACCACATTTCTTATCCCGTATAGCGAATCAATACAATATACAGTATGCCGATCCTACACATCGTGTAAAAGATGGACAAATAAAAGATGTTGCAAAGGGACTTACCTCGTCTGTTAAACTGTCATCCATTACATTATCATCTTCTAATTCTTCAGAGCCACTCTCATCCTAATGTTATAAGTTCTATGTTAGCTAAGATCATAGCATACATGCAATAATATGTTCAAATAAGCTAAAGAACAGACCGAATCGATTAATTCACTGTCGAGCTCGCCATAATCTGATTCAGAGCTATCTTGGTGATCAGCCATCATCGCCGTTAAAAGGGGTCTCCTGGATTCAGGTGTTGCATGCTTGCAGGGATGCTAGAGTACTCGGTACTGTAATGTTACAGTACCGTACTGTAGGTTTGTACTGTGCTCACATGATGCAGTACAGTACAGTACAGTACAGCACGGTACAGTACTGTAGTCAGATGCACAATACAGTACTGTACTGTATTATTATGGTTAAAAGTTCGTTTTCTAGAGTGTACACTGTACAGTACTGTACTGTATTACTAAGGCAACCACCTCGGATTTCATTCAGCGGAGAGCAAATGTTAAGAATTATTCGATAGCCATCAGACTTTTGGGCAGCTTAGGAAGCTTAAGAAGTGATCAAATTCGAGTTAAGTAAATCTTATAGACTCTCAAAGCATACTGATTTATATTGAGGTGAAAGCATCAGCCATTGATAGCTTAGGAAGCTTAAGAAGTGATCAAATTCGAGTTGAGTAAATCTTATAGACTCTCAAAGCATATTGATTTATATTGAGGTGCAGCCATTGATAGCTTAGGAAGCTTAAGAAGTGATCAAATTCGAGTTGAGTAAATCTTATAGACTCTCGAAGCATATTGATTTATATTGAGGTGCAGCCACTGTCGCTATAGCTCAAGAGATAATTATTATAAAAGTGTATACGTGGTGTTAGAGTTGCTACCAATATACTGTACATCCATGAATGATGTCGTTAAGGATGGAATGAAAAACTGTGGAAAGAGCTGAGAGCCATGGAGGACAGCCAGTACCAGATAGATGATGAAAATCAACAGAACGCTGAAGGTTTGCCCAGCCGGGCCAATCCCTTTTCTTTTACCAATTTTGTCAAGAGTCAACAGTTCGTAGACGAAACTGTATCGGATAGCGACAGCAGTCATTCAAAAAGTCATAGCATGACTATCGCACAAGTGCTGGAAGAGGACCTTGCAGGTATGCAGTAAAAGTAAACAGTGGAAGAGATACTGTGGATAATTTTTTAAGTCAATGATACTGCTTATTGATCTACAAATCGATGAGAATATCCTTTACTTCTAAGCTTAGAATAGTACATTAGGTATGACATAGTAGATACTGATTTACTGTCTGATATTCTATACTGACTGACATTTTGCTTTAAATCTGCTGCCAATTTACATGTTGGGCAACATGCCAAACGTAATGCACTAATAGTAGATAGATAATTACTAAGGAAGGCTCTATTGGATGATTACTATAACTATAGTAATAATATACAGCATCAGTACAGATTATGAAGCTGAGATGAATTCCCTTGCTATGTCTATGTTATCAATCCTTACTCATCGATCAATGAAATCGTAACGTACTACTGACGCATACGATGCTGGTTACAACAGTATCGATTGCTAGCAACAAGTAAAACGTGTAAGGAATCAGTAACACTATTCTTAAGAAATAAATTAAAATACAATATCAAATGACAGAAGATACGAGTAGAAAGTTGCTAGATCGAGATATTCTATTAGGAGATAGATACAATATTCATTTAATAAAACCTTGAAAGCTTAAAGCGCTACAAATCCATATGAAATATATCAATAAATGTAGACTTGTTAAATGTACATTATTGAGGTTAAACGATTGATTGATAACATACGTGTACGTCATTAGCAAATTTGAATATTGTATAAAATGAAACCGTACTCTATTTCATTGATCTGTTGGGATTCATAGATTTTAACGGATAATTAGTAAAAATGCATTACGTGTTTTGTTGTACTTGGGATGATTATGTTACTTTAAAATTTGAATACTATCTTGATAAAATATTCTTGTCGTTTTATTCAAAGCTGATGAAAAAGGTGAAGAAGTCAATCCGTTTTCGTTTGAAGGCACAAATAAAACAACAGAAATGACGAAAAAGAAGCAAAAGAATAAATCCAAAAAAGCTAGTGGCAGTAAATTAGATATATTTTCTCAAGATGATGACGACGTGATTAAGGTAGATTCACGATTGTTTTTTAGGAAATATAAGAGTAGTTTCACCGTCCGTTTATCATTACTGAGTGTTTTATGGTATTGCTTACGGCATTAATCACGTAATAGCCAAGCTCTATTCATGATTAGCAATATTAAATAAATTAAAAGAAGAGGGGCATGAATAGCTGCCGGAGAGCCTGATGCGTGCACTTGTCGGTTAATGCGATTAGATCACGTTATCGTATTTATAGCGCGATCGTACATTTGTTATTAGATCCGATTTCACGTCTAGATTGTCATAGCGCATTATATTGTCGAAGCATAAATTTCTTGATATTACTATTATGAAGGAGTACTATTTTGAATTATATCCTGTTCTTGTTCCAGTTAAGGCTTGAAAATTCAAACTTAAAGAAAAAGATAGCGAAAATTACAACCGAGAGAGATGAATCTATTTCACAGTATGTTATCTTACAGACGCGATCAATGATTGCCATTTTATTTAATTGCAATAGCCCTCTTTTTTTGATAATACTAAAACTATCACTATAGATTGTATTTTAAACAACGCTTCATCGATTGAATGTTAAAACAAGCAAAAATGATATTATATACGAGTATATGTTTACCGAAACTAAAAGCAAGCTCTACCTAAAGCCAATAAAGAAGGAAAATTTACATTGAAAGTAATGCAATATTTTCTGTTTATGTTATAACAGAGTATCAAAATTAAAAGAAAATTTAAAACTTATCAGAATGAAAGATGCTGAAGAGACTGCTGCTCTTGAACAAGTTACAGAAAAAATTGAACAAAACCTACAAATAGCGACCGTAAATATTATGTTTCCTTAGCGAAAACTGTTAATATAATTATAGCCTATGATTTGAATCAATGGTTTAATTAGCATCGGAGTATTTGCTAACCTTTACAACGTTAAAATCGGTGTTAAAGATTTTACATTCGTTAGCATAAAAGAACGTTTTAGCCGAGTTCATCACTTAGATTTTATGACATTAACTCACTAGGTAATAGATTGAGTACAGTATGGCTGGTGTAATTGTATCAATTTCGTCAGGATTCATAGTTGGTACCATAAATTCGTAATGTGATATAAAATTATTCTACAAGAGGCGAGTATGTTAAAACTGACTTGAAATTAAATTGAAATAAAGAAGAAAATCTATTTGTTTGATATTATAGAAAAGAGCTACTCATGCCGAAGCTGTTGTTGCTGAACTAAAAAAGGAATTGATTGAAGTTAAAGCAAATAATGCGATCTTAAAACAACAACTACATGGCATGATTTCTGCTAAAGAAAATGTTCAATTCGCTTCACAACAGCTGCATCAAATTGCGGAAAACGCTAAGGAATCAGTGAAGTAAGTCACTAGCATTGTTCAAATTTTATACACACTACTTTTATGGATTCCATTCCTTTACTTTTATAAACGTACATTACATGTAGTAAGTTATATTTTAAGTAAAGTTTATTGTTTGTTTTTAATTCATAGAAAATTGTTAAGTGATGCTGACGCTCTTAATCTGGTAGCCGAAATATTGTCTTCTTACGACAAATTTGAAATAAAATCGTAACAAGAATACACCATATCAATGTAAAATTCTAAAACTTTTATATCACATTGATTGAAAATTAGTATATGAATATTCTTTGTGCTTAGCGAATTAGTAACTTTCATTTTTCGTGTATAAATCCTTCTGTGATTATAAAATGTCTTTTCCGTAGACTATTCTGTGAATGTGCAGTTTTGTTAGCAAATTCCTTCAACATCTTAAAAAAAATTTGTTGGTTCTATCAGCCAGTATGCAAACCTTTATACTACTCAAATGAAATCTTATAACATAAACAGCAAACTATTTACTACTTACTTACTATCAGTCGGTGAATATCAGCAAATTCTATAATACTGTATTATATTTAGACTGAAATTTATTATAAAATAGATATTACTATTGATTGGCGGCTGTGGTGATGAAATTTTGAAATCTGCTGTAAATGCCTAACTACTGGCAGCAATAGAAATATTTTCGAAGATTTTAGTAATACATATAGTGAAATATCTATAAACTCTAGATTTAGCATATTATTCTATCCTTTATGTCAATCATAAACATGCATCATGTACAGCAATCGATCTATACTGTAATAAAATATTTTTATGTATAAAAGCGGCATTATTTATCAGCTCAAAGCAGCAAAAATAATATCATACTCTGCAGGTAAATTTCCTTTTGCTCTACCGATTTCATTATTATTAAGATATTATGGAAGTATACTTTATTAACAATCAATTATGGGAGTTGATGTCGTCAGTTGCTGTACTGGAAGAATCAACAAGTTCTTTAAGATCTTCCTTTTCAGCGTCAACGTCAATACTGCTTTCAAATTCTTCACTAGGACTGGGTGTACGGCTAGCTACTCTTGCTGCAGGAACTAAAATGTCAGTATCTATGACATCATCTGGTTCTATTGGTGATCCAGCAAATGGTAATGTACCCTTCAGAATGTCTCGAACCTAACAATTAGAGCAAATTATTATATAACTCGATAATAATGAATTAATATCAATGCCTCTACTTAACGGTGCATTAATTATATAGTTCTATAAATTCGCATTGGTATTTTTGGGGGTTATAAAAGAATACGTTACCTTTTTCAAGCCAGCAACCGCTAATAAGATTTTATCTTCTCTATCTCCCATAGATAGTAGTTGCATTTCTTGTTGTAAACTCTCTAATAACAGGAATATTCAATTTGAACCGTATATATACAATATACATGCCGTTGACATGCTCTAAGTTTTCAATAATAGATGATAGCTAACCTATGTAGGAATCCATTTTTGATGAACAGTATTTACACATAATCTTCAAGTCTTCAAATTTTGTCTTAAGGTTTAAGTCAATGGGATCGCTTGTCGATGTAGATCGCTAGAGTTACAATAACAGAGAGAAATATGTCATAATAATACTTAAAATTTTATATTATACTGTATATATTATTGTACTGACTCTAAATTATACACTTATTAAAAAATTTTAATTCTTACAATGTTAAAAACATAGCAATATGCGAGTATACCTTTCTTTCTGATCCAGATCTTTTACGTGAGAACGAAATGCTCCTTGGTTTCGACACTCGAGGAGTTTGTTCTGTTTTCGTATTTGTCGGATGAGAAATTATACATAAATCGCTTTCAATATCACTGTGAGACAGAAAAACGTCATCTTCGCCCTTTGACAGTCTATCTCGAGTGCTCTTGATGTTGATAGGCTTGGTGTTATGCGATTTCATAACAACAGAAAGCGAAGTCTCCTTTTGCTTAGTAGTTACCTGTTATAAATTATTATAAAACAAATTAACGGTATGGTGAACTTAACCTGAAGTAATATTGACTTACCTCCTTATTCTTGCTATCACTTGTATTACGAGTCTTAGCGTGATATGAGGCTAGAAATTTTCGCTCAGTCTTAGCGTTAGAGGTATTACTTTGAACTTCCTTTTTACTAATTTTAACTGTAGCTCCATACTCGTACTGAGGTGGTTTCATATTGTTCTGCAAATGTATATATACATCACAGGGTAATTCAATTCATTACCTTCTATGTAAGAAATGCAGCTAATCAAATCAAATAACCTATAAGCTGACTTACAGAAGGATCTCGTACGTATAGAGCTTTATCTATAAAATAGCTGATATCGCCAGCTGGAGGATACTTCATTAATTTTGTCATACAGGTTGCATAATCACTTTCCAACACTATAAATGTCGTTTAATACTTAGTATATCAGATTAGTGAAGCCTGATACAAATATATATTATGTATTGATGAGATCTACGGTCGAAGCAGAAAATAATGATACAAATTAATTATTAATGCTTACGCCAATTTCTAATATAAGTTAGCATCGCAACATAAACGTAGTCAACAAGAGAAAATGGTTTTCCATCAGCGAAAATTGCATCCCATAATACTAGGACATCATCCATTGGAAACTCACGACCAAACATAACGCGAATCCAACGGCTGTTATCAAAGAATATTGTACTTTTATAAATTGTGAAAAGCTAGTTATAATAAGAGACGATCCTGAGGAAATTGATATTAACTTACATTCCATATATTTGAGGGGCTATATCTAATCTTGCCAAATGAGAACATAATTCATAATCTATCCTCTTAAGTAATACATTTTGTATGTAATTGACTTTCTTTGCTAAATGAGAAGACTGTAATGTATAAGGAAAAAATTATTATATTCAAATACACTTTAGTAATGCTTGCTGGAAACGTATTAGACGCAATTATGCAGATATAAGAGGACTATTATTACATACTGGAGTATCCAGATCACTTCCATGTTGATCATATTTAAACAGTCGAACATCCAATAAATTTTCGACAGGGCGAGACTGAATGAGATAGAATAATATTAGTCATTTTGAAAAGAAATTTCACAACACTTTTACAAAGATTATTGCAAGTAATAGTATGCAGGGTCGTAATACTGGTTACAATATCTTCACACTAATAATAAGTAATAACTGTATCAAAAGAGCTCACCTTATCCTTAGTCCTTTCCCTCATCTCATCTCGCTCAGGCTGTAAATACCACCATTCAGCTACAGTCATTAATTGCGCGAATAAATGACTACAATATTACCAACGGCAAAAACAATATCATTAAGAATAGTTCCAGAGTTAGATTAAATAGTGTAGTTACGGCCGTCGAGATACTGTCTATTAGCTTTTATTACTGAAGTATGCTGTTAACAATGTACTTTCTATATTATATATATATTACTACTACTACATTCGTTTGCATTTACGAAATGACAAAAGTTTTTTAAGTCAAGGAAGTAAAGAAATAATAATAGTATCAATAAAAGCTATAATGCGGAGAAAAAGCTTATGCTTAGCTGACTTACAATGAATCATGTTCAAGATATTTTTCTTGCAATAAGTGTTGAGCGATATCACTATCGTTGAATACATTTATTCATAAGTATTACTTTTATATTTGAATGAATGCTTATTAGAAATGTATCAAACTTACGATAAATTTTCTGCTTTGGATTTTGTATGGATTATATCTCGCTCTAACGTTAAAATTATTGGCGCGAGTAGTTCATGCATGCCCTTTATAATAGTATAAAGATAGGTTTTTACTATAGTAGGTTAGCTTAATGTTATTCTTTATTACTAAATGCCAATGCATAAGATAAAATAATAAACAGTAAGTTACTCAGTGCAGTAAAAGCAACAAACCTGGCGATAGGATAGAGCAGAGTTATCTCGCGAGTAACAAAATAAAATATTCATCATGATATTTCTGGTTAATTATAATAAAATATGTATACTTAACATTTCGATTATGTTATACCCAGGTATTAATAGAAATCATAGATGTACTGATATCATATGTACTAAATTATTGTCCTGAGCTTACTTTACTCTTGCTGATTGAAAAAACGTCAGTTCAGGAAATCTAATAATTATAATTAGAAACATTACTATAATATTCAAATACTGTAAGGATAGCATTTAAAGATCTAGATTGTAAATAGATAGCAAATTAGATGTAACATGATCAATTTTTTGAATCATGTCATACTTACGTTCTATTTACATCTTGTTCTATTATTTGCATTAATTCTGTATGCTCGAAAAATTGACACCAAACGCTCTAAAAATAAAGATGATATTTCAGTATGATAAATTTCTAGCCGTAACTAAACTAAGCCACATTTGCAATACGCAACCATAAAATAATTTTGATTTTCTAGCATTCAGCATACGGATTGGTAGTCATTTGCTTTAAATAAATTTACTTACATCTTTATCCTGAGAAAGTGGATTATCAATATTTATGTCTTTGCCATGCTGCTGATGAGGATCTAATAAATACTGCACAATGTAACAAGATATTGATTACATTAATAGAGGATATTTCAACTCAAAATGTACATCTTATGATATAGATTAAGTAAGTCCATAATTCTAGTTTCGCAAAATTTCTCAATTAATTTACCTAACCATTACTCCACTAGTATACAGAACAAGAGCTCTCATAAAATATATATTATCTACGCCACCTATTGTATTAAGGGTAAGATAGGGAATATAATGCTGTATTTAAGAACCTTTTCCTTGATTTCGTCATAACTTTTCCTTAATTTGGTGGTTGCAGTAATCCATTTAGAGGTATCACGCGGTAAGCAATCGAGGAAAACCTAGGAAAAGTGGTAGAGTATCACCTTTAAATTCTATTTATTGTATATCCAGGCTGTGTTGCAGGTTGATTAATTCCATGATCAATATAACAAGCATCGATCGAATTTTTAATTGATTATTATCTTACTCGCCAGCAGACGCCACGAAATCGACATCGACTTAAACTGCCATGCATGCCTAATTCCTTAATCTGTAATAGTACATTAAATGATTGCAATATTATTCGACAATTATGAAAGCACTTTATCAGGATTAGTTGAACACAATTGGGTTAGCTAAATAAGGAAAGCGAATCCAGATATAGCAATATTGTTATAAATCCTGTTGAACTCGGATAGTATGTATATATAGGCATTGTATATTCTTAGCTAACCTGTGCTTTCATGATTGGTATTACTACTACTGGTTGGAGTTGTTGTTGGCCCATCGTTACGGGATGCTTTCTTTTCTTGATTGCCGAATTTATCCATGACTCTTAATATATCAGTAGATTTCGTTTTATTTGGTTTATTGCGCTTATTACTCTGTGACATGGTATTGACAATCGATGAATTAGAACTGATTAATGTTGGAATTAGAGTAAAAATTCAATTTGCTGGGGTGTTGCTTGACAAGTTTCACTAAGCTCCTGCTGCCTTTCTCCGCTTTGGCGTTAGCCCGGGACGCAGGACAGTAGGACAGCTGGAATGGAGTCTCAGTTTATCTATACTCGACTGCAGTACAGATACGCTAGTATGACTATATTTTTAATAGTGACACCTGTTATGGTTGGGTAAGGTCTTGGATTCCCTATCGACTGGGATGGATTGGCCAGGTCGGCGTTTCGTTACTATGTTACTATAGCATCTCTATCACGACCTGGAGCACGGACAGAAAGACTAAAGCCAAGTGGGACGCTATGCTGGCTGCAATGGAGCCATCAAAACGTCTGCTACGGATGATCTTACAGCATTAAGAAAATGTCGTAATACTCTACTGTCTTTGAAGAGATCCTTTAGCTAAACTACTAATGATCCTTTCGTATACACTAACTAGTAAATTTATCCTAGTTCAAGAGAATACCAATCTAAAGGCACAAACATCAAAATCTGCCCACTGCCTCCCTATTTGTTAAAGCCAATTCAGGCGCAGTGCAATACAAACGGCATAAGGGCTAGCGATGACCTCTACGGTTTACGGTAGTCTGCTAAACACCTGCTCCATTATTACCTGCAATATGTTTTGCAGATTCATTCCCCACAGACTGGTTAAACTAAAACTGTAATTCATCAAGTGAGTAAATGGCTATTTCCCGGCATCAATAACATAGTTGTATCTGGGCTCGAGCGAGATTTAAGACCTAACCCAGCTGTTGCATTGGTTGTATCACTACGAAGTGCAGTATAGAATTATCGAGCTTATGGTATAGTTAGACCCATTTCGAACTTATTCAAGTTGTTTTGAATTTACTGTGTCAATCGATATTCTAATTATCACAACACTAGATGCGATACCTTTAAAGTATTCGATTCATTGGAAGTTGAACGATTAAGCCATGTTTTAAATTAGCTAAAACATTCGATATTCTAAATTGATTGTGTTCGATACTTTCAACTAGCGGAGTATTTGGACATGTTACCTACTAAGTATTAGCTGTAAACATTTAAAGTTAGCTAAAATGATGTTTTAAATTGATTGTGTTGACACTTTCAATCATCAGAGTATCAGACACGTTATTACAAAGCATGAAACTCATTTAAAATTAGCTGAAGCCCTAGCTAAAGTCATGTTTTGAATTCTGTAGGGATAGCAGCAGAGTGGATATTCTAGTCAGTAGAATAATACCTGTACAATTAATTAAGTTATGCCATGTTTTGTCGACATTGTCATGACTATGGTAAACTATTGGGCTCATTCAAAATTAGCTGCAGTATTCGCCTACGGTAGTCATGCTTTTAATTTACAATAGGATATCTAGAAAGCATTAGACATTTGGACTTATGGAAAAAGTGCTCAAGCTAAAGTAGACATGCGCTACGTTTTCAACGCGTCTTGTTTACTGTCTATTCCGTTCTCGATTTTACAGCATTATTAGCTAGTGCTTCCGTGCCATTTTCGCTCTACGGTTGCATCTTGTAGTCTAAAATAGTCTAAAAGAAAAGAGCAATGGTTGCATCAATTATCATGGGATCAACATTACATAGGATAAGAGTGGTTGTGGGTGGGATTATACACACACTACTAAAATACCTTTAATTATCGTTAATCAATTTTAGTAGTCCACAGCTGAGCATGGACTACCTACCACAGTATTGTGTAGAGTACAGTAGAAGAAGACCCTGGATTGATCACTTTTGGATGGACAGACATTCTCGTCTCTGATCTCGTTAAAATATTGTGCTCAATACTTCGTTCTGATGGATCAACGTTGATCCGTTATGACAGTACTTCAGTATGCAATTAAGTCATATTGCATTGAATCTTATTATCTGCTACTCCATTTCTACTTACTGAAAATAAATAATCATTTTAATCCATGACAGAAAAGGTAGACTAAAACTTTTGTTATTGACTAAGAATAGAACATCTGCACTTGCACAACAATTCCATCAATCACAACTCTCCTTGGTTATTGCTGTATATTTGCTATACTGATAGTATAGGATCTTTTTAATGAGATTACTATGTATATGCCATATATATATATATTTGTTTGTTGAATCGGTCAGTCCTCTAGTCGATTACTGATTATTATACTATGCTACCTTGATTTCAATAACTACCAGTGATTTAGAAAACAGGCACGGAAGTAGTCAGTTTTAGGAGAAGTCCGCTGTTGAACAGCAAATAGGCTAGGGAGAGTGGCCAATCATTTGAATCATTTGAAATGCTACAGACTGCAATACAGACAGAACAGGACAGTACAGTATGTCTACTAGAGTACTGTACACTGTACACCGTACAGTAGGGCGTTGTTGATCATTCCAGTCTGACTCTGGATCCGTCTGTCTGAGTTCAGTCCACCTACCGTCCAATCGACATCATACAAACTACTGTACTAGAAGATGCCCTACATGCGCACAAGTCCAAAAAAGACCGCGTAAATTTCTGCAATGGAAGGTAAGTTGCAAATTTTCATCGATAAACAACTTCAATATTTCTTATAGTTGCTACAACTCAATCTATCCTCTTTGCTAGTCATAACTAGAGTTACCTATATTGTCTACTCATGTTCAATGATAGATAATTTATTTAAGGAAAAAACGTGATATTTGTTCGATTCATTGCCATGGACAAGGGGGAGACGATAGCTTTCAATGTTGAGCTGTTGCCGTCGTCAAGAATTAATCAAATAATAATGAATTAATATAAACCTTTATCATGCTTCTTTTAGTCGGGAAAGATCACGATTTGATAGCATCAGCTAATGAAGCAATCCATCTCAAGCTAGGTATGTATACTGTTATCATCTACACAACAAAATTAAATCATGGGATGGTTTGCATACTGCGACCATAGCTTCAAAGGCAGAGTAGAATAGTACTGTATGTAGATTTTGGAAATTTCTTAGCTGACAATGGACCTGCTGGATAAATTGAGAATCAATTAATAAAAATATTTCGTTATAGTTAAGCTATTCAGTGGATTAGATTGATTCAAAATGAGTTTAAATTATACAGTAATGATGATTAGATAAATCATCAGGGAAGTAAAGCTAAACCAACACATGCAGTAAGATGGAGTCAGAATGCTGATTTCTTTTTAATGATCAAAATTTGTATCATCGTTCGCCGTTGTACAGTTCAAATTAGACTGTAGTAACTTTCAGTATTGTTTCTCTGAATGATGCTCACTTTAAATCCATTTCTTTGAATCAATTAAAACTATCAATTTAAATACACCATTGGAATATGTTTATAGTACAGTCTACTTGCAGTGAAAAATGCTGGTTTCTACTTCTCAATTCTATTACAATTTAAAACTATCAATTTTCAGTATATACCACTTGACTTGATTAAGACTGCATATAGTTGACGCATAGATGTGATAGGGTTACAATCTTGCATCCATTCTACCTTGGTCAATAGTTACAAATGTGCAGAAGTGTAGCTACCGTAATACCTAGAAGCGAAACTGAATACATATAATTTGTATCAACTTCCCCGATGTTAGTTTCGGTCACCAAATTTATACAGACCTTTAATTTCTTCTAAGCTATACAGTATAAGTTAAGATAGCAATGTACGCATGTTGTGAAGCCCTAAATTAGCTTAAGATTAAAATTACATATTGCAAACCCGAATTATGAGTAGATCGCATGATAGCAAATTTAGAGCTGATTTATCATATGATTGTTTTGCTAAAAATCATTCTGTAACCAATCGTATGTTAATGATGAATTTTCTGTAATAATCTAGATAGTCCTTAGTAGTTGTAAGACAAGCCTAATTTTATGTAGTACAAGAAACTGTAGTTCTTGTTTTGTTATTTTGAAGACACTTTATCACAATACGAGTAATCTGATCTTTAGAATGATTTAGTGAACCCGTAAGACCAATCTACACTAGCCCCACAATAGACCTTTATACATTTAAATCTTCATCTATTTGCAATCAATCAATTTAAGTAAATATGATGTACTATGTATATTGTACTCTACTATTTTCATCCTAGTAATTCTTAAAATTAATACTTTATCTAAAAGTAATTAACCCTTTTTCTCCGTATCCAGTCAGTAAAGGAGATGAAGTTCTTGAAAAATCAGAATCATTTCACCCTGAATTTACTCATCAACTATTCGGAGACAAGTACGGATTAAAAGTTAAAATTCTTAGACTGTAATTGATATTTTCTAATCCCTAAATGTACGTACATCTTATTCTTAAATGCCTATTCTTATAGATTGTTATCTGCATCACTGGGCTGCAGAGTTAATACTAGTAAATTATACTACAGTATCATTAATTCTAAATATCTTAGTTTAATTGGTGAATTACCGTTAAAGTCAATGATTCTAATCTATATAGTATTAGCTAACGATGTCAATATCTAATCTCAATTCTAGTGAAGCGATATTTGGATATAAGGATTTGGAAATCAAGGTGATAAGCAATTAATTTTAAAAAAAGTACTTAGCTTGTTATGCATTTCGTGCAATATATGTATATAACTGAGTTACCTCGATTAAATCTATGTTGGCCTATATCTCACACAGGATACTTGCGTATCCAGATAGCTAATAATGAAAACTGTAACAAGGAATAATTTAAAATTTATCATTTGCTAACATATCATGCAAGATATTAACAAAATATTCCGATCCTCTATTCCTATATGATCTAGTTATACTATGGATCTTCGAGCCTCCTAACTTATTTTGGATTCACATATTCACAGAAAATTGATCCGTCTACTTCTGACGGTGTTAAAGTTAGTAATTTCCAAAAAAAAAAAACATCACTCATTTCACATCTTTAAGTACAACATCTAAAAGCATACTTCACCATCTTCCTCAAATAACTAAAGTTACTAACGTACAGCGTAGTTATAGAAAATAAAATTTATAAATATGTGTTCTTTTTTCTTCGGTGACATTTATAGCAGATATTATATTATACTACACAATTTGACAAGTTTAATAACTAACTGCTTCTATTGCAAAGTTGAACAAAAGCAAGATATAATTTGTACTGTAATTAGTTCTTTAAATAGTGCTATAGTTGCTATGTCATAATCGCAGCTCTCAAGTGTAGGATAATGCTAATTTTGATCCTATTGTACTTCTGTCATCGTGTACATTGTTATACTAAAATATACCAATTACTTCTTGTAGGCCGACGATATTATTCAAATTTTATCAGATGTTTTACCCCAAGGTCAGTTAAACCAGCAAATGCTTACAATTGTTATTACATTTTTGTATGATACAGTATTACTAAATTAATCGCAGGAGTAACCTTTCCTTTTTTTCATTTGTCTTGCATTATATTGTCCATTGCAGGTTTTTACACCAATCAGGATGAATATATGCGTGTATTAGAAAAGGAAGAGAGTAATTTTAAGCCGTTCGGGGAGATAATCAATAGCTATTCATTGGACGATCAAACATTTGAGATTAGGAAGGTAAATTAATATAGAGCTCATTTGCTTCTTTGTCTTTAAAAAGAGTTTAACTTGAATTTTTAGAACGAATAATGCGTTTTGTGGAACTACGCCCAATTAAAACTAGCTCAAAAAATTATATAAATTATGTAGTATTTCGGTACTGGCTAATTCTATAACTATTGATTTACGTATCGTATTTATACGAAGGCCAACGTTGATATACCCGGCTTTAAAGCATACCACGAGAGACTTAGAACCTTTCTGATTTGGTATATTGAAACTGCTTCATTTATCGGTAAGTTATTTTAAATAATTTCTGTAAATCTGAAAATGCTTTCGTTTTAACTATATCTTAATCATGGCTTGATATAATAACAGGTTCGAGCCCAGATGTTAAGAATTTTAATTTGCTTACACCTCTTTCTTAATTAAATAGATGATGACGACGAAAAATGGACATTTTATCTACTGTAAGTTTGTGTGAAACACTCAACTGTTACTTAAAATTATGTTATAAAAGTCTACAGGAAGTCTGCTAATTAAATGGTGCTTACAATACCATCGTATATCAAATATATCCTAGTTTATGATACATAAAATTATAATGCACGATACTTATATGTATATGTACAGATACCATAAGCGGAAGGATCACAACGCTTTTCGTTATGATATCATTGGATATATGACCTCTTATAACTATTACGCATACCCCGACAAGATTCGATCAAGAATTAGGTATAAATTAATAAATAACTGAATTGAAATGTCGATGATGTAATTTATGTATACTGTATATAGTCTTATTCATCTGTAGTAATAAAAGTCTCTAATTATTTTCTTTTTGTCTCATAATGCAAATTTCAAGTCAAATCATTATATTACCACCATATCAAAGGAATGGTCATGGAGGTATGAAATTATTGTGTTTATGAAATATTCCGATCGGATTTAATTTCTTAACTTTTTTCGTTCCATAAGCTAAGTTATTAGAAAGTTATTATTCACTGGCAGAAAAGGATGACAACATTTTAGATATCACAGGTATTGTTTATAGTTATTTAGATTGATACCTATGAGTATCTATTGATTGATATTAGTAGAATATTAGTCGTTGTTGCCGCTTGTTTACACCCTTTCATTTGATTAATTTTAGCGGAGGATCCATCTGAGAATTTCATAAGCTTACGAGACTTTGTTGATTGCCGTCGTTGCGCAAAGCTACCAGCATATTCTGATCAAAATCTACATGATGGATTCAACGAGAATATGGCTAATGAGGCACGAAAAAAACTCAAGATTCATAAGGTAAACTTTCCACTGCGACTACAGTACGTATGTGTGTGTATACAGCGTATGTTGCTATTGCAAAATACTCCGTTTGGTTAGATATTAAAATCTTAGTCACCAGTGGAATAGGCGACACAGCACAAAATTAAACTTATGTATATGTAATAGTAAAGTAACTCTTCCGTTTATAGAAACAAGCAAGAAGAGTTTATGAAATTCTCCGTTTGAAAGCAACAGATCGAAGTAATGCTAAAGAGTATCTGGCTTACAAAAGTTATGTTAAAAAGAGGCTTAGCCAGCCATTCAAGGTATTTAAACAACACTTATCTTATCTAGATTTTAATAGAGTATTAATATCGAAAATTGATCACGCAAAATAGATTTCTTTACTTCATCCTTGTAATATAAATCATTTTGTAATATTATTTATTGAATTTAGAAAGAAGAAAAAGACTTGTTGAAGTTGCAAAAATTTTTGAAGCCCGAGGAGTACAATGCTGCGATAATTCAAGCAAATAGCCAAGACAAAGTACAGCTCCTTAATGATAGCTATAAAGCAATCGAAGAATCTTACCTATCAATTATTGAAAAGTTAGCTCTATACTAGTTTGTATGTAGTGTATAACTTTAACCTAATCTTGTAGAATGTAGAATTTTTAGGAATTGTTTAAACGGCTTAACAAGATAAAAAAGAGGACCTTAAAATTGATACCTGTTTTAATGTTACATATTAATATATATTTTTATTTTATTCTGAATTAATTCCGCTGCCAAAACATTCTTGAGTTGAAAATTCGTGCGGTTTATATCTGTACACTACTGTTAAAACTATCACATTACTGAAAAGTACTTTTAGGATTACCACACTAGATTTGCTATTCAACAAATATGTCGCTAATATACTGGCACTACGAATATTTTTAACTCTTGATACCGTCACTTAGGACTGATAGGGTACGTCTTTCGAAGTGAACATAATTAACTGTTGTAGTCATATATAATTTGGTATATTTAGTCACATAGTTTAAATTAATTAAACGTAAAACTTATGTTATCTGTGATTCATAAGATATAGTCAGGTCAATTACACATTACAGTTTTATCATAATCTGTTGATGACTTTCATTAAACAATAATAATTAAGAGCGCCTTCAGCTAACGTCTAATCTGATGTTGTATATATTGTTATACTCATATAAGTAGACGAGAATTTTTAGTCAGCGTGATCGTACAGCATTAAGTAGTCTGCTACACATACCGAATGTACGAGTGGTATGGCCGTGAATGACTAAATTCTCATAGAATTTAATGGAATCCATAGACAAGACGTGTCGTGTTCGCATCTTTCCCCTTTGAGGGAGAAAAATATTTTATTTCTCCTCTTTAACTTCGTGCTTTCAGCTTAACAAATACATCCAACAAATTTCCAGCTTTTACTGTTGTACTAATTGCATGTGCTGAGTAAAATTTCAATGACATTTGGAATTACTTTGCCAGATTTGAAGAGGCTATCCACGTCACTCTACGGTTTCCTTAAAATTATTGTTGATGAAATGCTATTTACTGCTAGAGAAGTCAAATTCTAAGATCAACAATTTCTACGTATACTATTTTGTCTATGGGATAGCGGCGGGAAATGTCGTAGAACCATATACCAGTACAATTACATATACTATAATAACGATACCGCCAAATTGTTGGATTTTGTAAGGCAATGGGAGATCTTTAATAGCGAATATATAAAAGTGATCCGGATTGTATTTTATAATGAATGCATACTCCAGAACGCAGCATTATCAATCTGTTTAACAGCAATTCTTGGTAAACCCGCATCTTATCATGTAGAGTACGTCATGTATTTTATTTTACATGTATTTCAATACAATACAATAATATCAGGAATGTACAATATAATGTCGGATAGGTGTTTTACTTGTTATACAATATAATACAGTAATTAGCAACATTTGGTCAACATTACATCAAGATTCAGCAAATAAATTACCATGATTTTAATTTACTACGAGAGCTTTGTCCTACATTTCAGTAATATCAATTACAAAACATTAAGAATACAGTAATTTTACACATTAGCATTTGTACCGCAACGATAAACTTTAAACCATACATTAATACGTTAAGTTAAGTTGAAGGACGTTCTACATGTACGGGAAATTAATAGTTACTAACCTAAACCATAACTTTCAGGCTGTGCTAAACAATTAGATAGTAATATGAAGATTAATCAAATTCCTCTTACATTAATATTATTCTACAAAATATAGCGTTGACCTAATTTAATTAATTAACATCGATTTTTCGGGTTACATGGTACAGATATTAGATCACATTATTTTGAACAACATTGTTTAAGAAGCTTTCTTCAACGCTGCATGAGTTTCTTCCTTCTTCGAACGCAACTATTGAGCACGTTAAAGAAAGGGCATAAACGTTAAAGAAAATACATACTCAAATCAGCCGCTATCACGATGTATACAGTAGTATTTGATAGCTGATGTAGTGTAAAACTTCGTATTCCTTAAAATGATCAATACCAATCTGTATCAATCTTTATACTTTAATTATGCCCATATTATGCTATAATATAAATAAATTTTGCATGACTACATCTCATATAGATACATATATATATGGGATAAGAGTTGTGATTACCTCTTTCAATTTATTTCTAAACTTTTCATCATTTTCCACGTATTTCCTCTTCTTTTGTTCAAATTTTTCCTGTAATTCTTGTAGTTCTTTCTCTTGCTTTTTCTAATTTTTTTCAATCGCCAAGTAAATTAATGTAGTCATTATTTTACTCATAAAGATCATATTAAAATCAATATTTTGCTTGTAATATAAAATTTCATTGCTTGCCACTTACTTGCATTTGCTTAAGAGATTCTTGTCGATCTCTTAATATTTTTACGCGATCATCTGTGGCCCCTGTTGGCATTCATAATATTACGTCAAAATTAAGAGTACATTCTGCATATACCAAACTTTTTGGTTATAACTTTATGATCTTACCTGAGCTAGGTTCACGTGCAGCAGTGTCACTGAAAATTTCATTCATTAATATATTGTTTCTGTAAAAACGTGCGGCAGCAATATGCTGTTCCGTCAGTTCATTTTCTGTAATATAAAGCGAATGGAATCATTATACCCAGTAACAAATAAACCTAGCAAAGCCAGCTAGGTAATATATTTTACCTTCGCTTTCATCTTCTATAATTTGCATACTAATAGGAGGCTCTGGTAGCTATTCATTCAAACAGAATATTATTAACGTTCCCATTATAGTCATAAGCATACATCAATAGTAAGTATAAAATAAAGTACTATTAAGAAATCTTACAGGAGCAGAAGGTGCTGCATGCTGCATTGCTTTGTCGTATATTTGCTGATCTTGTGCTGAACGAACTACTGCATATCACGACATACATACACAATAGATATCAATCGAAACATTGATTCATAGCAAAACCTATAATCAATAGGGATTGTAAAAATGTATCATCTATACCTTGAGGTTTTGGGTTTTGGTTCGGGTTCGGATTCGGTATAGGGGGAGCATTATTTCTTGCTTTGGAGATAACCCAGGCCTGATATTCAGGTGATTGTTGATATGCTTTTACAGATTCATTATATTGTCTCTAAATTTTAGGTTTTAGAAGTTACAAAATGAGAATTTCTAAACAGTGGATAACTATCAGAAAAATGGGAAAGAATTATAACCTTGTCTTTTTCGTAATCATCAAAGTACTCCTATAGGGTAGGGTAAGAAGTGAATTAACTGTATCAACAAAAGTGTAGAAGGCAATTCTATGTAACTTTTATCTATTTTAATAAGCTGACGTTACGGTTTGTAAATCACAGCTTAAACTGTATCTATACATATTTAGTTTAGGTCTTACTTGTTTTTGTTTATCATCGAGATTTCTCCACATTGCACCAATCATTTTTCCAATCTCCCATAGTTTTAAGTCAGGATGTTGCTCTTTCACTTTTTCGAACATCTATGAATTTATTATCATGTCTAATATAAGGACTCTTAATGAAAATGATATACAGTCTCTAGCCTAGCTGACTTGAAGTATAAAAATTCATTTATTTACTACTAACCTTGCTACTGTATCTCATGTATGGCATAAGAGGTTTCTCTGGTGCTTTTGGAGGCTTAGTCGGTTCCATACGAGGCTGTATGTGAAATTAGTAAACGGTAAATCTTAAATTATGCAGTATTCTTAGTCTGAAGTTTCCTATACCATATATAATGTAGTAGAACATGACACAACAACTGACAGTAGCAACTGTATCATAATTAATTAAAATCATATTTGCAATTTCAAATTAGTGCAATAATGTAACAACAAAATTCCTATTTTGCTGGTAAGAGATAAAAGTCGATTATTATAGCAATATTAATAGTAATGGTATTACAGAAAATTATCCAATTTATTGAATACTCGTATAAAGTGGTTTAAATTTTATAACAACAGTTTGAATGTAGAGCCACTAACAACTATGTAAATTATACTATTGTATATATTTGTGTAACATACTGGTATTAATGTGACATACTTCTTTTTATTATCTTTAGCTTTTAACGAAGCAACGTGTAGAGGTGTAACTGATGTTGGATAATAATTGATTTATATGATCGTGCTAAGAGTTATGTTCTAATATATTCAACTATTACTGATCTAGTGATCCTCTACAGTCTTGACATTAGATTAATATGATATAGGAAACTAAATGGTTCAAAATTAAGGAAATTAGAGTCAAATAATACGATTCTTACCTGCGTGACGCCAATTTGATAACGCGGAGGTGCCTGCAGCTGCTGTGGTGAACTCCATTGAAGAGATTGGTTTACTTGTACCTAGTAATTAAAGAATTAACTTGAGCAACTACACTTAATTTAACTGCATAGTTTACTAAAGTCATTATAATCTTTTAGTATTATGCTACCTCTTCCATCTACGATGGAACAACCGCCTGTAGCGGTTATAACCGAAACGAATCATAAGGATGTAAAATATTGTGCATAATACAGTGTAGTAGCTCGTACCCTAGGGCTAGGAATAGCAATGCTAATGTAGCTATCACCTAACTAATCACATCGATTACTACAAGGTTATTCTAATTTATTGCAACGTAAGTTACGAGATCTTACCGGTTTACCAACGTCGGGGGAAGATTGATAAGGGTAGTTGTAGGCTGTGTTATTAATAATCATAAACCAAGCATTTCAAATTACCAAAATGGAAAAGCAATTTTAGCAGCAAATTTATCATCAAAGTAGTACGGTACTGACGCATTTTGTGGCATGAAACAAGTGCGATTCGCTCGAATTTTTACGAGATTTTGAACTAGTTCTACTAGCTAACAATCTAATATTTTGTAAATTACACGGGATACATAATCGATGCAACGATGTAATTGTGATTATTATTGATGACTTTGGTCTACAGTCCATCGACAATATACCGTATAATCTACGTTTATAGTAGAAAGTGAATTTACTGCTTGACTACAGTACAGTACAGTACAGTATGTATCAGCGACAGCATTGTTTTAAATAAACTATCTAGTATTGATAGATTAATAGTATAGACGGCATAATTATAAGTGATTTCGTAAGAAGCATCTCGAGCTACTGTACGTGTCTAAACTGCTCGTTAGAAAAATATTAATGAAAGGTTGATCCTGTTATATTCAGACGTGCTGTAGCCTGTAAGAATGCATAAAGCTTCTACGAGTCAGTATGACGATACAATTTGATAGTATGATGATTGTAAGGCTAGAGATTCATTGCATTGGATGTTCCAAGATTGGATACTGAAACATGGCAGATTGCCTCCAAATTTGGCGTATAATTTTAGTTGACTTTGGGGTGTTCAGGATATTCTTGCATATTGTAATATAAGGTCTACAAGATATTCTTGCCTATTGTAATACAGGGTCTACAGGATATTTTCCAGTTCCTTTGTACAGTAATCTCTTTTGGTTAGTAATGCAATTCATTCTAAGAATGCTATAACTGTCAGTACTGTAAGTAACAAGAAGGCCATTGAACAAGTAGAAATTTCTATGTAATACGACTGGAAAGACATGGATCCTGTTGATTTTGAGTTGGATGACGATTGAAGACGTTGGCCAGTAACTTGACGTCCAGTAAAATACTGCAATATGTATCGTAGACAACGAGTCTCTAAATCGATAGCATTTCTGGCGGTCAACCTTTCAATGTGACTAGCTAAGATTGTACATACACTGTACTCTTGTGCAACTTAAACTCTACTAACGTAGTAATCTTATTCCATTGACTACCATTCTACTCGTATACATTTCAACGTAGCCGACATGATTTTCATCATTAAGGTACAAGCAGAATTTTAGCGCAGTATTGAATCATCCATCATTGACCAAGGTAGAAGAAAAGGCAACACTAGTCCAGTAATGGCCTGGCCGACGGACAACAACGACCAAAATATCAATTGACTTGGACTATGAAATGACAATACTTACAAGCTATGGAGACAGGCTGTAAATTGGGCACATTATAGTGTTGCTGGACATTGATAGGACGATCTTGTCGCATACTATATTGCAAAGCCATGTTGGAATCTTTTCGGCTGGACGCCGACACTTGGACTAAGGGCTACAAGACTGGACTAGCAAGTTTTCTTGCTAGTCCAATAAGGTATAGTATGTGCCATACAACAGTAGCCACTGTCTGTACTGTATAGCGTGGACGGAGGTACAATGGATTTTCGTCTACGGGATGTGTACAGTACAGAGACCCCGATAGGAAACGATCGTCTCTTATTTTACTGGTCAGTTTACTGTACTGTACAGCTAGAATGATACACCCTACTGTAGCAGGATGACTGGACAGCACGTCCTTGCCAACAACAGTAAGAGTAGGAATTGATCAAGTGTTGACTTGAAAGTAAACACTTTTTCTTGAGTTGTTGCTGCTCATACCATCATCAGAACTTTTATTCCAAGTCCCTGGCATAACTTATACAAGGTCTTGTTTCATTAACATCAAATCAAATGGAATTCCCTTGCTCTCGTGCCCGCCGAAACCGAAACAGAGCGTGCACTGAGCAGGCTCAGCTCCCATCTCTTGGATTACAGTACTGTACACTGTAATATCAATGGACAGCCTACTGTACACTGTACACTGTACAGTATGTTCCATAACATTTTATCACTTTCGGGCCATATTTTTCTTTAAAAATACAGTAAAACTATCGTCGAATGATAGTTTTATGGTATATAACAACTTTTAATCAGTATTTGCTTATTAAGATCACTGGTTGATTCCTTTCAAAGTGGCAAAATAATTTGATACACACTCTATAACCACGGTACAGATATACAGTATAATGTGTACTATGTGCATCCAATACCTTCCACGTGTACATCGATAAGTGATATCACATGCTAGCAGTCTAACTGTACGCATGACTACAGTACTGTACTGTATCATATTGATAGATTCCTATTCTGTCTGTCTGGTAGTAGCCTCCTCCTGTATGTCTCTCTAACGTTCTACCTATGTGCGTTCATTCTCAATCTACAAATAAACCTACTCTTCATCCTCTCATCATCTTGAATATCAATCATGGTGTCTTTCCAAGCTATCATATTCATGTACTCTACTGTAAAACTGTACAGATGATAGCGAGTAAGCGAGTAGACCGTATGGAACGGAACGGACAGAGAGTGCGTAGTTACTCGTAGACAGATCATACTGTACTGTACTCAATCTAAAATGAAACCAAACCGCTGACAGACCTAGCGTCCATGATCATCTAATAAATGAACAGCACGATGGTTTAGCCATAGACTTTTACAAAGACAGTAGTATAGTTGTACAAGTCCATGGACTAGGGTTTAGCTACGAGGAAAGAAAGAAAGAAAAAACCTGGGCTTAACAGTGATTGCTGAATTGTAGCGACGAAATGAGAGGCCGTTCACAGCTGTAGTACGTGAGCACCCGGTACGCGTACAGAACAGTAGAGTACTTGCTTTGGAATCAATATTTTGCCCGTTTAAAATTTCTATCCAATTTTGGGGTCCACCGCTCAATGCAGTACACTAGAACTTGGACTATGTTACTTAACAACTACAGTTATGTACTTACTCTATACAGTATAAATCACACTGGTTTCATAGGAACGCTACGTTCTAAACCGACTACTGCATTGCAGCTACTGGAGTGGACAATGTCGCAGGACGAGAACAAATCTTTGCTCAATGGACTCATCCCTACTATTTTCCTCGTTCTCTTTTGCTGGAGTGGAGATCAGGCCAATGAGCAAACATGAAACATTTCTTCTCGTCCTGAAATATTACTTCACAATAACGTTGAGCGTTTCTACCTTCACGACGTCCTTTACTATTGGTGTTGCCAACGTTATCGAGCACCCGAGCTCGCAGCACTGTTTACTTCCCAATTTGGCTGGCCATCATGACGTCATACACTTACGTTGCGACGTACCAATCGTCGATCAGGAAAGTTGGGTTGGGCCACTGCCACAAGCATACCAACGTATCAGGACTCAATTTCAGCCTTTCATTATTAAGGGTTCAATAATCATCAGTGCAACCTCTTGGTGTTAGAGTGTGGGAATGCTCTTCGTGTTGGCCCTTTCCTTCTAAACTAGCCCATCTTTATCGAACGTGCTGATTGCTATCCGTTGGAAATCTTAATATAAGCTATCGATTCAAAAGTAGGTGGAAAATAATAATAGGATTGCAATCTAGACTAGATTGGCTACAATATCGATCATTGTTAAGGACCATTTTATTTTGCAAACATTTTGCTACGCCTGCTGTAAAGCAATCGCCAATACAGATATCAAACCATTTCAATTGAAATTGATTGACTACCATGACAGCATCAACTCTACTTGTTATCATAAAATCTTCTATAATCAGTCCTACAAGTTATGATATTCTACCAGCCATTTACTCTTAACACTATTAAAGTTACAGATATCAAACCATTCAAATTGAAATCGATTGACTACAATGACAGTATACTGTAGACTCTACTTGTTATCATAAAATCTTCTATAATCAGTCCTACAAGTTATGATATTCTACCAGCCTTTTAATCTTAATACCATTAAAGTTACAGATATCAAACCATTCAAATTGAAATCGATTGACTACCATAACAGTATCGACTCTACTTGTTATCATAAAATCTTATACAATCAGTCCTACAAGTTATGATATTGTACCAGCCATTTACTCTTAATGCCATTAAAGTTACAGATATCAAACCATTTCAATTCTAATCGATTGACTACCATAACAACATAGACTCTACTTGTTATCATAAAATCTTCTATAATCAGTCCTACAAGTTATGATATTGTACCAGCCATTTACTCTTAATACTATTAAAGTTAAAGATATCAAACCCATTCAAATTTAAATCGATTGACTACCATGACAGCATAGACTCTACTTGTTATCATAAAATCTTATACAATCAGTCCTACAAGTTGTGATATTGTACCAGCCATTTACTCTTAACACTATTAAAGTTAATCAATATTGTAAATGAATAGAAGCTCGCTTATCCTAGAATACAATAAGGGAAAAATTAAATTATAATAGAAATTACTCATTGGCTAGATCTTTAATTAATGCTATCAACTTGCGCATATATTTTACTAGATATCATTACCAAGGATTGTGGCTAAATTGATTATCTACGACTGATAGCCCACTACAAAGAAAGTCATAGCCCAAAATCTTGCCAATAGATTGAATATTTGATCGATCATCATTGAACGTGTCATATTATAATTGATTGATTATAGTTAATCATATTCCAGTGAGCGATAATAATGGCGAATACGAGTATTACAGTCTTACCGATCGATATTTTCCCCCTACGATCGTTATTTTATCTTGTGGCTCCTAGTGAAAGCATGTTTCAGACGGTTCAAGAAGTCCCTGAATACGTCAAACAGGTAAAAAATGAAGAGCTTTTTAACCATACTTTTCTACATCATTCAGCAACTAGTAGAGATGGATGGGTGAAATATAGCCCCAACTTCAAGTTGGCTAGCCAAGTGTCGATAATATCCAATTGTTTACATCAACAATCATACGTGTATAGAGATACAAGTTAGCTTACAACCAGACTGTAAGATACTCTAGTATATCACCTTTGCATCCGATAGCATACAGGCATAGGCAGTAATTGTAATGAACGATTGAATAATACTACATCCATAATTACTACAGAAACTTACAGAACTCTTAACAGATGTCGCCACTAAGGTAGACACAATTCTATTTTGATATACTTCCTATGTCGTTATCTATCCTCTAGGTAGTGCCACTCTTTATAAGCGCTATTATACTAGAAATTATCATTAAATCAATCATGGGAATTGGATCATCAGCTAGAGTCAACGATATAATTGGATCTCTCTCAGCTGGCATTATATCAAGACTTCCACAGTATGTTCTGTCGTCGATAGCTAGTGCTAATGAATTCATTGTAGATCAAGTTCTTTTTTTATGCTTGATAAATCCCATATACGAATACCAATGTTTTACAATGACTATATATATCTGCACTTCTCCAGGCTGTATTTTGGTAGCCTTGAATTAGGAGCCTACATTTGGTTTTATGAGCATTACAATTTAGTACGATTGCCATGGAATTCTTATTGGACATGGATCTTCTGCTTACTAAGTGTTGATATGGGATATTATTGGGTACATCGTTTTGGCCATGGTAAGAAAAGCAGCATAAATCCTATTAGTTTATGTTGATTTCAGTACAATATTGACCGTCGCAGAAATGCAATGCCTAATACGAGTGCATACAAAATACAATTTAATTGGCGATAAACTAATTTAAACACTTTAAAAATGTGGATAACTAGCATAAGTGAGATTGAATTAGGGTGCACATGCATAGATGTAGCTGGATAGAAGTAAATTAGCACACTACTTCCCAATCAATCATAGAAATATCAACTGATGATAAAGTGATCATATCAAGAAAGCTTGTGTAAGAATGCGTTAATTACTCTAGCACAAAAGATCGCAAATGCTATTCTTAACGTATGATATATAGAATAGAGTGATATACGGTTGCCTTTAGTTAATTTATAAATAATAAATTGACCATACTTACAGCAGAATAGTGATAGGATGCCCTGTATTCTAAAATAAGGTGCCAATCAACGTACTATTTTTATGTAGGAGTATATTCGTCGTTATAACTTATTGATTGCACAGTTTGCAAACACTGATAAGGCAAGAAAAATTTCTTGTCATTAAAATTTACTCTGTACATCACATACTTTTACTAAATACTAGGCAAATCTAGAAAAAGATGTATTCTCTGCCAAAATCGATCTTTTCTTGACGTATTATTCTAATTAAACTACAGAGGTCAACTTATTTTGGGCTGCTCATCAAGTTCATCACAGTTCTGAGGAATATAATCTATCAACTGCCCTACGCCAATCTGTTCTTCAGCAATACTTCAGCTGGGTATGTTCTAAGTCCTCTTTTCCTGTACTATTGAAAATACTATATCGATAAATCTATATTCCGTGTTTGATACAATCTAATAGTTTAAACAGTAAGTACATACTGTATATGTGTGCTCTAAAAGATATCCTTATTCTATAGAAATCTATTGTCGAAAGATATCAATTCTTCTTGTTACAATTTAATAAAACAATCCCTAAGCCTTCGAGCAATCTTATGCTTCTTAGTATCCTAATTTTAAATGTTATTGGACTATTTAACAGGTAGGTTATTTACCTTTGGCATTGTTAGTGCCCCCTCCAGTTTTCTTAGTTCATATACAATTGAACTTAATCTTTCAATTTTGGATACATACTGAGGTAAACTAACTCTACTACCGAAATTTTAATTAAAGTTAACCTAGTCTTATTCAAGTCGTTTTCATAGCTGTAATATGCTGACAAAATTAACGCAAAATTGTAAATTAAAATTTATATCTTCGATGAATGTAATACATCCTGCATTAACCTTTGTTACGGGGTAATTTTTTTTACAATTTATACACTTTAAATAATTAGACTTCGATTAAACAAATATGTAAACTAATAACCACTTACGGCGCTTTAAATATCGCCATTTAATGATGGTAATATGTTTAGCATTAGTAAAAATTAATTATTGTAATGAATTATTGAAAGTGGCGATTACAAACTCTAAAAAATGAGCCAGTTTGTAGTCAAATGGTCTTACATATCCGGTGTATTGAAAATTTAAGTTCCTCTTTAACCAATCCTTTATAATCGCATGTTTACCAATAGTGTTTATCAAAAACTATTAATCTTCAATTTAACTAATAGTAATGTTGTTACCTTAATGCTAATCGTATTTGAAATTACCATGTTCATCGTCGCTGACTTGATCAAACAATCTTCTATATACTCAATGGCTAATATTTACTTGATATCTAGGTAATTGATAAAATCGGACCTCTAGAATACTTTCTCAATACACCAAGCCATCATCGAGTTCATCATAGTATGTTTATAATTTTTAAGCAAAGAATAATTCAGATTTAAAATCAGTCAAAAATTAATGAAGTTATTTTTATACTACATTCACCTACTAGGCCGCAATCCTCAATATATAGATAAAAATTACGCTGGTGTATTAATTATTTGGGACAGGATATTCGGTTAGTATTTACATATTATAATCAGCAGTAGCAGGACAATCATTTTGTTAACTCATTAATTTTAGTATAGCACTCTCTATGAGTCAAACACCTGAAAAGCTTGACGAAATCATTTTTAAAAACTTATTATCATGTATCCGCATACTCATGTAAAGGTACATTCGAGCCTGAAGATGAAGAAGGTGTATATGGTTTAACATCCCCTGTAGCTACATGGAATCCTCTCTGGGTGCAATTTGGCTATTTAATTGAAACTATTAAACGATCTTTATCGTATGATAGTTTCTACAACTTGGTAAATCTTTATTTCTGTCACTCTACATATTAATGTAAAATGAATTTGCGATACGCCTCTATTTTAAAAACATGTTTTATCATGATCCCTATGGTCAGAAATTATATTAGTACAAGGAACAAAATTTAAACTTCAAAATGTTTATGGAATAATTTGTAATAACTATAATTTGTATTAAAACTTATATAGCTCGGCATTTATATCAATGGTCCAGGATGGCGACCCGGCAAACCACGTCTGGGAAACCCTGGGGCCATTCCTAAGGTAGTATTTAACATTTTCAAACAACTTGAACTATAAAGATATAAACCAGAATAACCATTTTCAAGGTTCAATTTATTGTTTATTTTAAAATTCCTTTACATAATTTCCTTATTTAACAAAAGCTAAATTCCATTTAAATCTTAGATCAGTCGCAAAACATTTATCAAGTATAATCCAAAATGTTCTGCTTGGTGTCAAGTGTACAGTCTCCTTCACTTTTTTGTTATTGTAGTTCTAAATCAGGAATTACAGATCAGAAAGGTAATTAAAAATTTTACATTGCATTTAATACAATACAGTAGTTATGAGCAATCTACTATAGCAGTAGCCTGTGCTCAATATAAATATGTTTTCAATCCATAATATATCTATTGAAATAAGAGTAGGTAGATTTAATCACCGTAGGTGTAATGACGGACGATTCGTGTATTTTTGTCAGGATTTCTGTTAACAATTCACTATCAGTAACCATGTTTAATATAAATATGCATATATTTATATGTCTCAAAATATAAGCAGAGACATAATTACAACGAATAATCCTCTAACATTTTATGCTAAATTTTATCCTAAAACTTTTATCTCTTCTTTACATGACGTATTTGCAGGATATGCCAACCACTCAGTTATTTCTTGGGATTATATCTACTTTAATTACACTTTATAGCATAGGAATCTTGCTAGAAAGCAGGTATTACTTGTAGTGTAGAACATCGCATTTCAAAAAATGAAACTTGACCTAATTAATATTTACCCCATTACCTAATACCTATTTGTAATTTTTAGCAAGCTATATTTTCTATTTGTGAATACCTATTTATATTTATTAAATAAGTAACTTAATAAAAATATTCTTGAACTATAGGTGCTATGCACCATTTGTCGAGTATAGTCGGTGCATGTCCTACTTAGTGATGGATACCATGTTAATATCAACTGGATACGTTTGTAAGTTTAGCTCTTCATCCCTTAATTTCGGAATGTTCTAAATACGAAAGCTGTGTTCATTGCTTTTAAAATTAATATAGTTATATCTCACTAACCGCTAATTAAGCATTTTGATGGTATTTTATTTAAATTTCCTTCGTACTATAGTAATACCAACTGAAACTGCCACATTTCTGAAGATTATATTTTCGCTATCTTCCTTACTATGGATTACGAGAGCTATTCAAATCTCTGTCAAGACCAAAGTGGCTTAAATTCTTGGTACAACTGTTGACAAAGCAATCAAGAAAATATACAGTTATGTTTGAGGCCTTGCTTGATTCATCGTTCTCTAGAAAGCAACTTATAAAGTACCAGCATAAACTGTTTACAAAAACAACTACCAAATTACCTAAGCATCTACAAAATAATAACTAATCTCAAATTATATCATATGTCATAGCTGTAGCAACGTTTGAAACTTAGTGTTAACAAAGTGGCTTGTGTAGTAAATACCATTGCTTATACGTAAAAATTATTCCTCTAAAAATTTTAGTTTTGCAAAGATGTTAATAGATATCTCATGAACTCATTCTCGTATAACGTACCTGTATTGTTCGCATTAACTTACTGAATTATTGAACAAGGGCAAAGAACTTCCATACTAAGTATATTGTATAAATCAGTACATTAACTATCCCTAGTAGTTAAACTTATGATATAGTAACTCCTTTGTAACTGTATACTACTATGAATAACAACCATCATGTAGTAATTTGAGTAACAAATTTGCCCTATCATTTAGTTACATACGCAAAGTACTGAAGAAGAATATGATTCTTTCGATCTGAAAATGGATTATTATCTCAAGTAGTTTATGGACTGTAATTCAATCGTTATAATGTGCGAAACTATACGAAACTTAATGGTATCACGCTATTATTAGTTATCCCTTATCGAGATTGTAACCCCATATATCTGCAGTTAATTTTTGCTTAGACATCTAAGGGTTAGCATCATGTATTAATCGTGTTATGTTTATTCATTTATTCATATATCGAGTAGTAGTCTCAATATTAGGAGTAGTGTCGTGGATCTAGACGAACCGCAATAAATACACTATTTGAATACGCTTAACCCTTTTCTAGATATTTCAATAAAGTTTATGCAATCTTATATGTCTTTGTGCTACTAACATCTGACTGAGTTTACGATAGTAAATCAATTTACAGGATTCTGATTTTCAATAAACACCAATATCTCCCTTCGAGTATTAGTTCCGTAAGAAATTTTTATACATAACAAGCACAGAAGATCATTGAAAACCGAAAATGTTTACTTTATACATCGCTGCAACTTATATAAAATAGCCAGCTTAGGTGCATCTTTAATCCATTTAATCCACGCTATCTGCTATCAAGAATTGAAAAATTTCATTCAAGATAGCACGTTGAATATATTGCATGGATATTGTATCAAATCTAAATTTGCAACAACGAAAGAATATAATTATTACAAAAAACTAAAGCTGCAAGTCTATAGTCAGATTCACCCTCCCTGACATCTGCCTACAGTAAAGCTCTAAATACTGATTATTAGCTATCGTCTGGAGGAACAGTAATCCCACTAATCTCTTACATAAACTGAACCCAAACTTAATCGCAAAGTCAGTCAATTTATAGTAAATCTACATAAACATTAATTATTAGTTTACAGTATAGATAATACTATACTGTACAGTATAACTGTGCAGTTATCTATTAAAAATAATAATATTTAAAGCGTCCTAAATAAATCAATATTTAACACATTCTTAGATAAGTCATCTTATGGAAACTGTGCTACGACAGCTACAGTATGCAAAAGTTACACCGTAATCATAATTTCTTACCACCATATTAAAGCTTTGATTATATAAATGTTATTCATTTTCCTACCTAATTTGAATCTACTTTAAACACTTTTAACACTTGCTACTGCTAATTTTGGCCCATGCATTTACCGACATTATTTCAAAAATTGTAATTCAGGAAAAGTATAAATATCACTGTCCATATCGCACGTATTCAGTTTCTATGCCTAATTTGAAGCTATTTTAAATACTTTCTTAGATTTGATCTCATGTGTGTGCATATCTATTAAAAAAATTACTATAGCAGCCATGAGGAAGATGCAATGGAAAATTTACTATATCACACTAAAACACCTACTGTAACTCTTTTTCTACCTTTCAGATTTGATTTTTATTCCTATGTTAAGTGTAGCAAGTCAATAACAAATTGCATAACGAGCATATTCATAAATTAGCTATTGAAGATACAACCGAAGATCTGTTATGCCAGCTCCACAACTTATTAATATTCGAATAGAAATTTGCTGTGATGTGATCAGGGACTACGAAAAGAAAGCATTTTAAAAGTTGAAATGCTACTCGATATTATATTTGGACTCTTTGCATCTATCCGATTTGGCTTTCATTCGTATAACTCACAAAAATATTCCAATTTTTTAAAGTGTAGCAAGTCTAGATCTAGAACGATTTTTTCCTTTCTGCACAAGCTGAAAGCTCCATACCAGCTATACCAACTTATCCAAACTCCGCCAGGACCTAACCTTAGAGGCCATGACGTCACTGACCTATTCCTCATCATCGTTGGTTAAAATAGCGAAGCAACGGCCGTCTGGAATAATCAAGATATTAAACCAATGTAAATATTGGTCGTAGAAAACAATTAGAACCTCGGAATAATCTATTTGATTGCTAACTTTATCCAACGCTATCTTGACTGTTTCATGATTGAATCTAAAATATGATTCAAGTTGGTATGTCATTACTCCAATTAACGAATCCAACCAATCATGCCCTGGCTAAATGTCAAGATTTACCTATTCGACCGTTTTTTACATCAAAAACCCCCATGCAATTTGCATTTAAATGCTCTATTAATAATTGTATGGCATGCTTGACAATAAAATTGGATAAGAGTTTTTGTTTAATTTGCAAATCAAAACAAAGCTGGTAGAAAAAACAACTTACATCAACAGTAATTTGAATATTAACTATATACACCAAAACGACAATAATAGCTATCGGTCCAATCTGATAGTAATAATTATCGGTCCTCGTTGGTTATAAAATCAATATTTTTCGTTCTTTCCCTCAAGGCTAAATTGACCATTAATCATCATTCTACAAGCAACACAACTTTAATTTAATATTTCAAGCATGAATTCTTCACTGCCCTATCGTCCGCTATCTCATCTGATACAAATAACAACATTTCAACATGTCCACCAAGTTCCAGGCTATATCGAAAAAGTAAGACTGGAAATAATTTGATGTTCGCCTATAAAGATCATCCTAAAAAAACTCATTACGGCACACTATATTTATTATAGCCAGCTCGTTGTATCCAAATTTATCCTTTGAGTTTATGAACAGCGTTCACAGTAAATGCTATCATGAAAACATTTTCAATATTGAATAGGCAGTTTATAATTTTACCCTTGCAATCGGCCATTAATCGTCTACAATGTTATAATTTCTTCAAACGATCTCAGGATTCTATTTATTTTTTTCTATGGTAATTAGCGGAATAACCTCTGTAATTATAGTACTATCTTTAGTTTTGTCCATTTTTCCAGTTGTTCGGACGATTACTTTTAAATCTTTCCCTCAACGACTTAGCTATGTAGCGTCTCATGGAGGTAATGTGTCTAAAAAAATAATCCATTTGCAACTCTATCCTTTAATGGTGTATTGACCAGCTATAGTTTTATAAACATCGAAAAGTTATCGCAGGATTCTATTCTTTAGCGAAACTGCCACGTTACTTTATTGTGTTACTTTCATTTGTTTTCAATTTCTGATTTGATAGTCATTCTAATAAGAACATTTTAGTCGTCCATCAGCTAGCCATCCACGTATATCCACTATCTTATGGAGATAATGTATATCAAAATTGATCCAATTAGCAAGTTTTTTTATTTTATACAAGTCTGACTCTTGACAATGATTGATTGATGAAAACATGATATTGCGATTTTTTTTATTCCGCTCTATTAGTTGCTAATTGTTCCTATAACCGAATTAAATCCTCCATAAGCTATTCTTTGATGTTTTTGGGGCCTACTGTACTACTACTGAGAAATATTGTACTGTAGGTCACACTCTTCAAAGCTCTAAGTCCTATTTATATTTTTAAAAATTTGCTTGTGCATCTGTTATTAATGTAAACATGTCACAACACAATCACGCTTTTACAGAGATTATCGCAAACATTAAATGCAACAACGAAATCGTCTCCCTATGCTTTATTTTATTTGTATCTTAGGCATTGATTTTATTGCGTGAAATTCTCTATTATGTCATCAATTTTATGTACCTCTGATTCATGATTTTTCAAGTTTGATCTTAGATGACTGTCATGAGTTCAATTAGTAAAATACTCGTTGCCCAGCTTTTCCTGTTCACCCTTACTTTGATCACGTAAGCAGATTAAATCTTACAGTTCGCTACTGCTCATTTTATTTATTTTTTAACAGTTCTACTTTACACCAAAACATCGCATACAATGTCTTGTCCTTAGCAATCATCAGCGTAAGCTACTAAGCTTATTTTAGCAGCGAAACTTCATCGCCATACCTTTTATATTCATCTTCAACTTATAATTGTTATTATTATATGTAATGTGTATTAATAACTAATCAGGGCTAAATCTATCTAATAATTTTTCTTATTGCATTACTTGCTAATTCGCTCAGGCTATCGATTTAACAGACAATTATGGATGTTCTATACAGTTAAATTGTAGATAATTTTGGTTAACTAATGAGCTTTTTTGATTATCAATTACAATCACTAATTTTTGCTTAGTTGGCTTTCCATTATATGGACAATGATTAAAGCTGTTAGAATCTCGATCATAGTAGTTACAGCAGTGATAGAGTAGGACAATTATTGTACTACTGTTACTATCATTGAGAAAAAATGAGTTTTTAGAATTAATAAGAATGAAGATGGACAAAAATAAAAACTTAAATTATATTCTAAGACAACGAATTAATAGCATCACTATACAACTGATGCTTGAGATAATAACAACAACCTAGAGTATTGGAGAATATTGTCTTTAAATAATTAAAGTTAATCATTACTCTCTTCTTTCAAGGTTTATCCATTCTTTCTAACCACAATAATGATCGAAATATTAATTCGATTTATTAAACATAAACTGCAAGTTTTACGAATTCCTGATTTCATTGCATCGCTTTCGGCATTTATTATATCAATAATACCACAGTAAGTTCAATCGAGATCAAACTAATGGATGCTCTTGATGTGATAAAATTCTTATTTAAATGTCTTAGTTGATAAATAATTTACTCTCATTCCTTTACAAGATCAAGTGCAATGCTTTACTATAAGTATATTTTAAAATAGCTCGATCTAAAAGTACAGTATTAGGTGGCAGTAAAGCTAAAACTGTATTGGACTATTTTCGGTGACCTGTAATATCTGTACTCGTTTACTTGTTCATTTGTAGTCTACTTGTCAGAAGCATAGAATTAGAGATGTACATCAAGATTCATCAGCGCTATAATTGGATAAAATTACCATGGGATTCACCACAGACATGGTGGTTATGCCTTCTTGGAGTTGATTTAGCATATTATTTTGTCCATCGGTTCGCCCACGGTAATATTATTGATTGCTATTTTGACGTACAATATTATTAGAAAACAATATGGAAACAAGCTAACCTTATACTGACCTAGTTATAAACTATCGCCATGCTTCAGAAAGAGAATAATCTAATACTTTAGTAGTTAAATCATAGTTCGATCTATTCTATCATTATAACCTTGATTAATACCATTTTTTTTAGTATATTGTTATGTAAAATAAGGCTGGATACTAATTCTCTATTATTATTTTTTAGTCCGGTTTTATGTATAAATAGAGCTAATTAGTCATATGTTTACAGATGATTTATTTGTTTGTTTTAGAAAGAATATTTTAAGTCATAGCTTTAGTAATCATATTATTTAGTATATTTTAATATCGATTTATTAGTAGTCCTTGATTAATCGTCCCATGTTTTGTAGTACCCGATGTTGATTATAGAGATATTAGTATTAAATTAATGGATAATAATAGAAGAACATGAAAGCTTAATCCTAACTGCCTTGCTTCAATACTTTAATAATTTGATTAAAGCAAATACAGTGTCAATGCTTGTATACTAGCCTGCTTGATTAAAAATATCGTAATAGTAATAGCATATGACTGTTGATATTACTACTTGTTCAATTTATTGCAACCAAGGATAATAATTGTATTAATACTGATTATTATTAATTCGCTTTAACTTACAGAAATCAATTTATTTTGGATTGCCCATCAAGTTCATCATAGCTCCCAAGAATTTAATTTAACCATAGCATTACGTCACTCATTTCTACAACAGTATTTTGCATGGGTAAATTAATATTGCTTAGTCGTAGATATAAACAAATGATTGGATTATATTTTAATTATCTCTAAGATAGAATAGCGTGATAAATGATACAATTTTCATTTTCTGCAGATCTTTTACCTACCCTTAGCTTTGTTCATACCGCCATCTATATTCTTGGTTCATATTCAATTTAATTTAATGTATCAATTTTGGGTTCACACTGAGGTAAGTTTTAAAAAAGTATAAGTGTATCTGCAGACTATTAAAATTCAGTACGGTATATTAATAGGATAAATATACTAAATATATATGTATGCACATATCGAATGGTTAATGCACAATGTATAAAAGTATTCATGAACTAACTCCATTTAAAATTGCATTAGATCATTGATAACTTGGGTCCACTTGAATATATTTTTAATACACCAAAACATCATCGAGTACATCATGGTAATGTTTCAATACGAGTATAGACGATTTTTAATAAATTTTAGAAATACGAATACTTATATAATTTGTTAGATATGAGCAAAAATTAATACATAATGAGAATATGTTACCTCCAGAAATTATTACTTTAGAAGGAATTGGTTTCTAATTTTATTTAAAATTATTTCATGATGGCTGCATCAAGCATGTATCATGCTCTAATCGATAAAGAAAAAGCAGATGTTAATCATAGGCTTTACTACATGTATTTCATTACGTAGCTCGAAATCCAGAATATATCAATAAAAACTACGGTGGTATTTTTATTATCTGGGATCGACTTTTGGGTTAGTTTTTAAAAAGAATGACTTAAAAATAATTATTTATGTTTGTAACTGTTGTAGGGCTTACTTTTTAATTAATAAGACTATATAAGACTACATGGGTTGATAAAATATTTTGCAAAAAAAGACTGACTTTAAATAATTTTATTTATGTTTTTTAACTATTAAAGAGCTTGCTTTTTAATTAATAAGGCTACGCACATTGATTTTGCAATATCTACATTAATTATAGGCACATTCGAAGAAGAAGTGGCTGATGAAGTTTATGGGTTAACAGCCCCTGTCGATAGTTGGCATCCTGTAACAATACAATTTGGCTATTTTATCAAGAGCTTCCGCCGATTTTTGGAATTAGAGGGAATTTTAAACAAGGTAAAACTCATTGAAGTACTAATAGATGAGTAAGGGATCATAACATAATCGTATGGGATCATCACTGACAATACTAATATTCGGAGTTCATTTATTCGGAAATATCGCTTTTCATTGTATCTTTAAATTTCTGATGTAAGAAATTTTTTTAATTTAAATAATGTTACATTTCTAAAATTTCTCTAATATGGTCAATTTTTGATTAATTTGATAGCTGGCAGTATGGTGGAAAGGACCAGGTTGGCGTCCTGGTACCCCTCGTCTAGGCAATAAAGAAGCAATTCCAATGGTATACGAACTGTTATTATCAAATAATATATACCGGTGATTTAGTTCCTAAATCACAAAATACATACTTTCAATATCGATTATATGATTTTTGCTCTACATGACTGCACACAGTATTACAATTTGATTATCTTAAATTAAATCATTCTAAGATATAAATAGTAATTATAGAAATATCTTTGATTCTCTGTACCAGGTCGATTCTAGAACCTTTGTAAAATATGATCTACAAGCACCAAGATTTCATCAATACTATTGTTTGCTTCATTTCTTGTTGACGCTTGTTGGTAATCAATTACTTATAGCATATGTGAAAGTAAGAAAAGAAAAATTAAATGTTAGGAATATTTTATGTAACTTTCAAGAATAACAGCACTTTGTTACCACTCACATATGATGGTTATGATCAACTAGGAATTACAACAGACGATAGTATTATCCACCATTATCTTTATTCTATTATCGCTGTATTCTTTTGGCGCTCTACTCGAAAAGCGGTAAATTTTATCTTGAAAGAATTATTGATTTGCATCAAATTGCGATACCTTGACGAACTTTCTAATAACATCGAAATAGGCAACCGTTGGAATATCTATGACATTGACTAACACGTCTTTTTCTTGTAATACCGTATAGGCCTTATGGTCCACACATCGAACTTTGCCGATGTATTCTTTATATATTAGCCGATTTATATATTTCATCTAATTATAATCTCAGTAAGTATAGATTATCTTCAATCATTAAATAATAAAAATATCTAAAAAGAAGTCCATGATGATCAAATAGATTTGATATAACATTTAAACTAAAGTTGAATTTATCTCTTTTCATCTTAGCTGCATCATGGAATGCAACTGCAATTATTGTAAGGATTATATATTTATTTTCCTGCTGTGTATGGATGATCATTAGCCGAAAAACAGAGTTAAAAAAGACGGTATGACTGTCATGAAATAATAGATAAACAGTATAATATTTCATATGGTTACTCTATAGTAAATCAATTACTGTAAACATTTATTCAGTACCATGATATAAGTTCTTCTGCGTAACTATGCAATTACGCAATTGTAATGCTTCTACAATTATTCAATCATGTTTGAACATAGGATTAATTAAATCAAAGACTCCTATATTCGCCAAATAATATGTATTGTAATTTGGGCAAGACAAAATTGAATATGAAATGCGCAAAGATTATCATCGATCATATTCTCTTTCCTAATTTCGTACACCGGATAAAGTGTAATCGGTATCCTGATTATAAAATCAAGATTTATGGCAAATTATTTTTACAGATATTACTTTTATATAGTTGCAATTTAATCGTTTAATATAGCAAAATTGATCGACACTGATTACTACTAAGAAGTGTTTTCAACGATCTGTACTATCTGTATCAGTAATATTAGCTTAACTAGTATAACCGGCGCTGTTGGTTTTGCTAGCTATTAGTAGCCTATTACTACCTATGAACGACTTCACCCATTTTTATTATTACATATACCCGAAGTAATACAAGAAACTCATTATGAATGATATCGATCCTGGGTGATATTCAAGTAGAGCCTGATCGCATGATCCGGACCTATTTTGAGTGTACTGTAGATATGAATAGAAATGTTAGCATACTTCTAACCAAGATTCCTTTGTAAAAAAAAGGTTACTTAATATTATTACTGAAAATCATATCATAGTCATGATATTCCAATTAGCATCATGTTTCTTCCCAGATGTTGATGTTGAATCCCTGAATGTAAAATGGTAGTGTATATTCGCTTTCTTTTATTGCTGCTGCCTCTTGCATTTGTAGGACAGATTTAAGGACTTCTTCTACAGTCGTAGTCGATGACTGTAATATTATTGTTTATACTGTATGTAGCAGAGACCGTTGGTTTGTATTAGAATTTTAAAGAAATGAAATTACTTCATACTGTAATAAAAATGAATAGAAATATCAAGAGCCAATTGCTCAAGGTTGTCATGATCTATTGATGTGGAATTTGAGCTCAATTTAATGTCAATGCCTGGATAATTTTAAATGATCTAAAGCCTGAACAGCTTTCAACCAGCAAATAGATCTACCTTGCCACGCCCCTAAAATAGTGGTCTTACGAGTGTATGAAAGTGCGGGAGAAGCCTACTAGTCGGTGATATAACCAAGGACTGCGGCACTACAAGAGAGAATTCTCTCTTTAGAAGCCCTTGACAAAACCATAGAGGTAAGAAGTGTACGTCTGTATGGGAGATCTAGAAATGGATGACAAAACCAAGGACTACTAATGAGAAAATTCTCGCTTTAGCAGTCCCTGACCAAACCCATATTTGCATCGTTCCTCCCGAGTAAAACCACATTCACGCATGCGCTAGAGTACCCTCGACAGTCGTTTCTACTGGTGTCAAAATAGGCCTTGCGCTCACCACTAAATACAGTACTGTACAGTACAGTAAGAGTTCTACAGTATAGTACTGTACACTGTACACTGTACAGTAAAATCGGATTCGTGTAGTGTGCAGTAGTACTGTACTGTGGACGTTCGCCAGTTTTAATGAACGAACGTACGAACGTCCAATTTGAACGTCGGACGTTCATTGAACGTACCAACGTACACAGTGTACAGTGTTAACACTACAGTATATAGTGTACACTGTACAGTACGGTATAAGACTATACTATACTGTACACTGTACATACAGTGCTGTATAGTATTGGGGTGGGATTATACAAACTGACTGTATACACTGTACAGTACAGTTCGTCGACGTCCGATCTGACAACGAACGTACATACCGAACGTCCAAAATCGAACGTCCGTTGGACGTCCAATCGCTCGACGTCTACAGCACTAGTGTGCAGTACTGTACTGTACTGTACTTTGGTCATGTGATCGGAGTTGGTTACAGAATACAATGTACTGTACGTACAGTACTGTCATATATTGTACTGTACTGTACATACTGTAGTATGAAATACCAAGGGCCTGCTACAGCTGGACAGACGATCGTACTAGCGGTGTTAGACTGGTCTAGTCAGTTTAGTGGATAGCCCATGCTAGTCCGTACGAGAACTAGCGGACTGAGTCAAGGGCAAGCAACCGACAAGGACAAGGAAGACGACATGTTGAGTAGCATCGTGCAAACTGCCTTACGACTAAGTTGCAATTATTTAGAAAGGTTCTCTGCATCACCTTTCCGACAACAGAATTGGGTAACGAATAAACTCAATGCCAGAACCTTCAAAGTGAAATCATCGTTAAAGCTTATGTGCTCTGGTTGTAAATTTGTTCGAAGGAAAGGTCGATTGTACGTCATCTGCAAGAAAAAACCCAGGCATAAGCAAAGGCAAGGATAAGGCAAAATTCAAGTTATCCAATGCTATGGTAGTGTAATAAATAATTTTTATCCAGATTCCAAGCTGAATTGAAATCATGGGTAGTAAAAGTGAATGATTTAGACGTGTTTAGGATATCAATGCTATTGAAATGGTAATCACTTTTCTACGCTGCGCTTATTCTATGGTGTAATAGAGATTCACAAGTCATTGGAAAGACTTGTCCTAGCATGTAGTACACAATATTGTATTCTTAAGAAATGATATGAATAACTGTTTATGGCCACTACTATCAATATCAACGTCAATGTCGTAAAAAGAAATGCCTACTTTGAACGATACTCATAACCGAATTGATCTATCTTTGATGATTGGATTGACTGGATCTACAGCTCTGGTACACACTTCAAATTTCATCGATTTAAAATGAAATGAAATGACCAAACCATATATATCGTTCTAGGCAGTACTTATCAGTACTACTGTATTGTAAGCAAAGTCCATAAATATTGTTCTATACTTATTTATATTATTGTACAGTATATATATATATATATATATATATATATATATATATATACAGTTCACAAGGAATCGCTATCGTAAGTAGACTATTTCATCATGATCAAGACGAAAGTATTTTGCTGCCTATTCTTACCGTGATATAACTACGTTTGGTAAATGTTACTCTTTGTCACCAGGTGCATGACGTTTAAACATCTTGATAGAGTAGAGAATCACTACTTGAATCAGGATGTAATACCATTTTCATTTGCTTCTAGTGAATATACTGTAATAATAATATTGCAAATGCGGTATAAAAATGAGTACTATTCCTTACACTGCAAGATAAGCATAAAGATACTTTCGTGACTTCAATTTGTGAAAGGACATCAACTGCTTCCTGATGTGTAAACAGTCTATCTATGGAAAAGATGAACCTATTTTGTCAAGATGCTTTGTACTATGCAGCTTTACCAGTAGAGATTATAGAATGCAAGCTGTGTCGTTTAATACACACAATAATTATAAAAACATCCGATCTAAACTTGAATTTTGATAGGCAAACTAAAATAAAAATGAATTGGTCCACATTTTGTAGATCAATTAAATTAAATTTATAACGATCTAACATTGATGTTGTCGTATTTACGCTTGTACTGTCTATAGTAATCTGGATAACCCCAAGTAATTTTTATTATCATCCAACGTGGCTTTACAGTTACAACTATTCGCTGTTGGAAATACTAAGATTGATGCATTCGACACAGTAAAGCCGTACAACTCTGCATACAAATACCGTCGGCTTTGTTACAGTATGAACTGATATAAAGAATCTTTGACAATCATTGATGCCTTACAATAACAGTAAATTGAGATCGGAATAAATATCTCAAACATGTTAATAAAGAATAACTTTAGTCATGATCCTCGCATAAACATTTCTATCGATAAGTCGGTATGCAGTACCGCATACTAAAATACTATTCTTGTTATGATTATTACAACTAAAATTACGTGTACGCTAACGTGATCGATATACTAAGAATACATAAAGAATTATGTTGAAGTTGGAAATAGCTCAATGACTTCAATAATAACTTCAATAACTCAATTTTGAACTCTTACTTCATTAATAGCATAACACTCTCTGATACAAATTGAGATATGTGCACAACGGTGCTTACTGTATCGTATTTTCAATTTATAGAGGCAAATAATATCGTAAATTAAATACTTCACTGTTATTAATAATGTTATTCATTATTCAATCTTTACTGTAAGAGGACATAGAAGAACCGCATATTACCCCTATAGCAAGGTATGATTTTATAATAGCAATGTTAATAATTCAGTAATTGTTCTCGGCATTTAATTGGCTTAATGGTGATTTTACTGGGCATGGTCCTATATCTATCTTGTAGAGGATCCATAATGCAGTACTGCTTTGTTTCTATGAAAATTGACGTTATGAAATAGCTAGACGTATAGCTTTACATAATATAATATATTCTATAGCACAGTCAGCACCGATACTATTGCTAATTGATTGGATGATTAATTGACATTTTTTATCCTTGATATGATGAAATCAGTTTAAAGTTTTATTTACTTAAATGAACAAAATGGCTTTTAGTGGTAGATCGAAAACTACATTTATTCAAGTCCAGCCAGGACTATCGTGTGATAATGAGACCGATGGCGATAACGAATACTACTATAAGGTATAATTACATTACTTATAATTATTGCATGTTATATTTTTAAGTAGTTTGACTCCCTATTCAACTGATAATTTTTATCATTATGAAAAGTTAAACTGAAATTAGGATAAAAAATATAGCTATATCATCATATCAAATTTAAAGCATTAATAACATCCATTGCTATTAAAATCCATCCGGAGAACAGTTGAATATACAAGATTTACCGTAAGAGAAAAATTAAACTGAAGTTAGGAAGAAAAAAATATTGATACATCATCATACAGTATCAGGTTTACAGCTATAATAACATCCATGCTATTAAACCATCTAGAGATAAGTTCAATAAACAAGATTTGCCGTAGAGTTAGAAAAAATTATTAGGGTATTTTCTTTATCAAAACACCTTCAAGCTTTAATTTTTGACACTAAATTTAGCTAGTAATCAATACCGTTTCAAGATTACCGATACACTACCGACAGATACGTTAAATTAGTTCATTTTAAGGGCTTCTAGAAGCTACAGTGAAAGTACGAGTATTATACATTTATCATAACAAAATTTTATTACGAAATATTCAGTACTAATATTCGATCATTACATTAAGAAGTTAGTTTTATCCAAAACCCTATTTAATACTTTTCCTAGTTTACTGAATGATTGGATAAAAATTGAAGCTTACTCAAAAAGGAAACTACATAATGTTCTAGACCGCTTGATCACGAGCAATATACAACATACATGCTATAGTAATATACTGTAGTATTTGAAATCCTTGCTACATCAAATACCTTGAACTTACAGTATATACTCATGTTTGCTTTAATATTTGTTGTATTCAAAAATTCGTATCATTTGCTGGTGATATCTATAACATCATTTTAATTATGTATTTATACTATATATTGTATTTACAATCTCATAATTTACAACTTTACTCTGATCACAGTAAGAATACTATAAACCTACTTGGTATATTATTATTGTGATGCTATAATAATTGGTATAACTACTTGATTAGGAGTATATATGCTTACTATATTAGATTGGGTATCCAGTGTTTAAGCATACAGTATTGTAAGTTTATAGCTCTTCTGATAATGTAATAACATTGTAAACTTACCCGCTGTACTATCGATCTGAAATTTCATTTATTGAATGTTATAATTTCAGTATTTTTGGTTGATGATGATTAGTTTCTAAAATTAATCTCAATATTATGTCTTCATCTAGTAAATTCAATACACCAGGTGCAAAATCTTAATAGTATACTTCCAACAGTAATCTATTGTTAACTAATTGGAATGTTGTTCGATGACTCAATTATGAAAATTGTGATTATTTCTTTTATTTTCATTCTGCATATATTTACCAGGTGAAACGAAGCATTTTGAAAAAATCGACAATAAGAAAACAAATTTGTTCCAGCGAGATACAACAAGCCTTTTTTATTGCAATTACTTGTTGTCTTGCTATTTTTCTTATAACATGTAAGGGTAGTCGATATTGATCTGTTAAACGCTTCCAAATAATAGTTGTTATTGTCCTACGAGTATTTACTCAATTTTATAGCTGATTTATGATGTGACAATGAAATAAAATGTATACTTTACTATCACTGCTTAACTAAGAATTAATGTATCAGTTCTTTGATAAAATGAAATATTAGAAATATAATTTTAAAAAATCGTTATTTAAATATACTCAATTTTAAAAATATGATTGTTAAAATTATCTCTTTAGTACTGATATATTTATATTCATACAGTTAAATTAGGGGTCTTTCCTAATGAAATCAATAATTCATCCAATGTTCACAGTTAGGAAGCGAATAGCAACTCTATATAATGGGCATAGCTATTTTAAGCAGTACGTATTTAATAAATGGGATCGTTAACCTACTATATTATTCAGTGAAAAAAAAAAATTTTATCAGTTACTTGTAAAGATTTATAGAGTTAAACTACTCACTAATTTCTTCTTTTATTAACAGACGATGAAAAGTGCCATAATCATCTGTAAAGAAAAAAGCCACATTAAATGTGGATAATTATACTCTAGCGTTAAGGATTATAAATAAAGGGTACAAAAATACAGGCGTAACCAATTACGTGACTTCTAAAATGAAATTAATTTTACTGCAAAGATTTATTAAGGTATTGCTTACTTAGCCAAAATTGTAAATAATAGTTGTTCGTAATGTAAGCAGTGCGTAATTATGTATACAAGGCTAGATTAGTTGCGATATAAATTTCATAAAATTAACAAAGAATAATAAAAAAATATCATCTTTATAACCCTATTGCATAATATGTTCATATACAAATCGCGCTACCCAAGGAAACTTATCAAGGATTTGAAAGTATTCGTCTTGATCTAGTTGCTCCCACAGCGATATAAATCTATAAAGATTTTACATACGCTTATATACACATTGTCAAACACTAATTAATCGCTAATACACCAAATAGCAAGTGGGCTTGCTAATAGTCATTTTTCCTTTTTAAAGGACCATGTATAATACTTTTATAAATGTTTTATAAGAAAACTCTACAAGTATCAGCATAACTTTAACTTTTCTCGCAATCATTCTGTAATAACGTGGGCAAAAAATTACGAGATGGTAGTTATGATTTATTGACCAATTTTTCTATAATAAACAAGTCCTACTTTGCATGGACTACAGAATTTGTTCACTCCATCTGCTTTAGTTAATAAATTATTGCTACTATAATATACTTAACTTTTAATAAATCAAATCCTGCCATCTTTAGTTACTAATTATTCTTTATTTAGCTAAAGGGCAAATTTATATT